GAGTTTTTGTTGTAATGATATTTCTAATAAACATCGTTAATGAAAACTCCAATCTCTCTCTTACTTTTAGCCAGGACAACTTATTGTGTAACAGATTTACACTGGTTCTGTACGGACTCCCCAATACCATGCGCGCTGCCTTGTTTTGTGCAATTTGTAACTTGTCTAGACAATGTTCATTGGTGTTGGACCAAACCACAGAGGCACAGAAAGCACCTGTGACTGAACTAGTTTCTTAATTAAGTGAAGTGGAATGAATTTCCTACAACGTCTGATAATAGCCGTACTTCTTCCCATTTTTTTCAACAGGTAGTTAATCTGATTCGCCCAGGATAGTTTATTATCAACAATAACACCCAATAACTCAAACTCATCAACCTGTTCAATAATAGTACCATCTAAGGTAAAGCTTAAGAGTTTTCAGTGTTGCAGAGCGAACAGAGTCAGTGGTAGAGTCGTGTTGCTGTTAGCCAACCAGAGGAGAGATGTCAGAATATCAGAACATAAGGCTCCAAATCCTGCTGTTTTCTGCTCCCTTTTCTACTAGCTAACTTCTACTTCCTGAAACAGGAACATCTGAGATTTTTTTCAACAGTGACCACTGAAAGTTTATTGAAAAACATGGCGAACTTGGTCTTTAAAGAGCAAGTCACCCCCAAATCAACTTTATTTTTCTGACAAAACTATACAAATGTGTGTCTAATCGTGCTGCAGACAAGTGTAGTCAACAGTTTTGCACTTTAGTGCATCTTTGTTAAAATTTTAATGTTCTGCCTAAAACTGTCAGTGTTGTGCCGTTGTCAGGTAAAAACTCTGCACTGCATTTGAATTTAAATCTGTTAGAGCTGGTACCATATGATGTCACAATGTCATTGTGAGCCTGTGTGTGTGTGTAATTGTTAGCGACTCCGCCCTCTCGGTCTGTTAGACAACAGCATTTGTTGCATTATTCAAATAGGATGTGGGAGTGGAGTAATACTCTGATAGGGGGTGACTTGCTCTTTAAAGAACAGTGTTATGATCTGAGGTTGTCCCTTTTGGTCAGGTTGAAGGTTCAGGAATGTTATTTTACAGACAACGCAGATACCTAACTCCCTGCAGAGCCATCTTTTCCCTTCTATACGGGTTTTCTCTCTGATAGCTCACATGATGATAGAATTGTTCCGGGAGAGTGAGACTCACATAAGCCTCTTTTACAAGACACACCATGCCGGCAAATCGGCGTAATATTACCGCAATGGTATGTCTATAAGCGCGCCATGCCGGCATGGCGTTGTGCGTATTTTGCGGCATTCGTCCCGCCTCGCTTGGTAGTAATATTGTGGTAATGGTCTGTCGTATACAGGTGCTGGCCAGTAAATTAGAATATCATCAAAAGGTTGAAAATATTTCAGTAATTCCATTCAAAACGTGAAACTTGTACATTATATTCATGCAATGCACACAGACCAATGTATTTCCGATGTTTATTACGTTTAATTTTGATATTTATAGGTGACAACCAATGAAAACATCAAATCTGGTATCTCAGAAAATTAGAATATTCTAAAGGCCAATGAAAAAATGTTTGTTTCTCTAATGTTGGCCAACTGAAAAGAATGAACATGAAAAGAATGTGCATGTATAGCACTCAATACTTAGTCGGGGCTCCTTTTGCCTCAATAACTGCAGTAATGCGGCGTGGCATGGACTCGATCAGTCTGTGGCACTGCTCAGGTGTTATGAGAGCCCAGGTTGCTCTGATAGTCGTCTTCAGCTCCTCTGCATTGTTGGGTCTAGCGTATTGCATCCTCCGCTTCACAATACCCCATAGATTTTCTATGGGGTTAAGGTCAGGCGAGTTTGCTGGCCAATCAAGGACAGGGATACCATGGTCCTTGAACCAGGTGCTGGTGGTTTTGGCACTGTGTGCAGGTGCCAAGTCCTGTTGAAAGGTGAAGTCTGCATCCCCATAAAGTTGGTCAGCAGCAGGAAGCATGAAGTGCTCTAAAACTTCCTGGTAGACGGCTGCATTGACCCTGGACCTCAGGAAACAGAGTGGGCCAACACCGGCAGATGACATGGCACCCCACACCATCACTGACGGTGGAAACTTTACACTGGACCTCATGCAACGTGGATTCTGTGCTTCTCCGCTCTTCCTCCAGACTCTGGGTCCTTGATTTCCAAAGGAAATGCAGAACTTGCTTTCATCAGAAAACATAACTTTGGACCACTCAGCATCAGTCCAGTCCTTTTTGTCCTTGGCCCAGGCGAGACGCTTCTTGCGCTGTTTCTTGTTCAAGAGTGGCTTGACACACGGAATGCGACACCTGAATCCCATGTCTTTCATGAGTCTCCTCGTGGTGGTTCTTGAAGCGCTGACTCCAGCTGCAGTCCACTCTTTGTGGATCTCCCCCACATTTTTGAATGGGTTTGTCGTCACAATTCTCTGCAGGGTGCGGTTATCCCTAGAGCTTGTACACTTTTTTCTACCACATTTTTTCCGTCCCTTCGCCTGTCTGTTAATGTGCTTGGACACAGAGCTCTGCGAACAGCCAGCTTCTTTAGCAATCACCTTTTGTGTCTTGCCCTCCTTGTGCAAGGTGTCAATGATTGTCTTTTGGACAGCTGTTAAGTCAGAAGTCTTCCCCATGATTGTGGTGCCTTCAAAACAAGACTGAGGGACCTTTTAAAGGCCTTTGCAGGTGTTTTGAGTAAATCAGCTGATTAGAGTGGCAGCAGGTGTCTTCTATATTCAGCCTTTTCAGAATATTCTAATTTTTTGAGATACCAAATTTGGAGTTTTCATTAGTTGTCACTTATGAATATCAAATTTAAATGTAATGAACATTGGAAATACATTGGTCTGTGTGCATTGCATGAATATAATGTACAAGTTTCACGTTTTGAATGGAATTACTGAAATATTTTCAACCTTTTGATGATATTCTAATTTACTGGCCAGCACCTGTAAATGAATGATAAATGACCCGCACATGTATAGTGCCTCTCAGAGTAAGGACTCCAAAGCGCTTTACACTACAGTGTATCATTCATCCATTCACACACACATTCACACACTGGTGGTGATGAGCTAGCGGGGGGGGGGGGGGGGGGGGGGGGGGTAGGTGTCTTACCCAAGGACACAACAGCAGAATTCTCTGTCCGGAGCCGGGATCGAACCTGCAACCTTCCGATTACTGGACAACCCGCTCAACCTGTTGAGCTACTGCTGCCCCCATGCCTCCTGGCGCAACAGAGGCAGATGTCATGATGACGTGGGGAGTTATCGCTGAGCTCCAGCTGGCTAATTTATTGAAAATGAAAGTAAACACAGGCAGTATGGTTTGCTTTTTGAACAAAATCAGCTGAGATGGCAAACTGGAGCGCCGCAGCGCTCCACGAGCCTCTCTGCTAGAGCTGAAGCTCAGATCACCAGAGACTGCACAGGGACCGATGGGGACAGACACCTTTAGGAGCTGCTTGTTAAAAAAACTTACCGATCACGGCTTCAATCGCAATAAAAAGCAAGTTATGTCCAAGATAAACGGAAGTCTGCAGCAGCACAGAGACCGCCCCCATACCCCCATTATGCCGCCATCAGCTAATCCTTTATAAAATTGCCACGATAGCACCACACTACCGCCACGGTCTGGTCTTATAAACGACCTTTATCCTCCCCAGGGAGCCGCGGCAAATCCCGTTTTGCAAACGCTCTGGTCCTGTAAAAACAGCTGGAGACGGAGCACCACAGAGGTTAGGCCATCTTAAGAAAAAGCTGAAAGTGGCTATGCATTCATCCAACTTTACTATCACTGATACAACATTTAGACAGAAACTGAATGCCACTCATGACAGAAATACATGTGACACTATACCTCATCAGAAGTGTAGTGTTTGGCTGTACATGGTCCAACATTTTTTTCATTTGTGACTTTAAACTGGCCCAACAGCTAATATCACACCATTAAGCAGTCTCCTGCATTTTGCTACTATTCCTGTGCACTGCACGGTAAGCTCGAACACTGGCTGGTTTGAGGCTGAAATGGCTGCAAACTCTCCACAAGTGATGAAGAAGCAGAGCGTGAATGTGGGGCTGGCTGCAGCAGAAGCACTCGAGTCTTGCAATAGGCATTATAAGCTTCACCTCCCCACAAAACCCCTGCTCTCTGGCTACAAACACCACCTTATTAACCACAAACCAGCTCAGTGCTGACCTCTGCTGAGGTTTTGCTTTTCATGGTGTCTTGAAAGGAAATAATTTAGGCTGTAGTAAAACTAATGACATAAACATCTTCAACGAGAGGCAGCGTTAACACTCCTGAGCTATCCTGTCCAACAGAGTAATCACCTTCTTCACATGAGTTATTCTTACACAAGGTTTTCTATGAATGCCCTGTCTCATTTACATGTAGTTTGTAGGATTTGAAAGCGATTTTGTCTTTTAAGACTTTTATCCAGCCTCAGTGGACATCCTCTAAAAAACATTCCTTCTTTTAAATATTTAAGATAACAGCATGGTTCCCTCCTGACTGAGTGTGTATGTGTGCCTGGAGTGTATCGATTTCAGGAAGTGCTTCTATCCAAACCAGATACACATATTTTTATGTAACACCGTCTTTTTACTTATTTATTTTGCTGTGGACTACTGAACTCTATCAGATAGAAGAACACTGGATGTTTTTCAGCTGGTGGTGAAATCCTGCATCAGTATCTCTGCTCAGAAATCACGAATCAGCAACACAGAAAACTCCCTCCAACTAAAAACAGCACCTCAGTGCCAAACCATCTCTGTCGTTTCTAATGAAAATAAGGTTTTGGATGAGACAATCTGAAGTGCAGTGAAAGTCTTATCTTTTAAGGGATAACTGACAGCATCTCATGGCCTTACAGCAAACACAATTCAAACATAAGTGGTTAAAAAATTAGGAAATGTCTAAATGCTAAAAAGAAGATGTTGAAACAGGGATGCAAAAAGTTAGTAAAAAGAAAAACATGCAGAATAAAACGTGCCTTACCTCCGTTAGCGCTGTAAGCAGGTGACAGACTCAGCCAGCACTGCAGGAAGTTGAAGGCATGAAGAAGAGCCTCTGTGTTGGTTGGCTTCAGCATCCCAACAACACTACCCACTAAAACACACATGTTGGGTTTTTAATTACCAACAGTTGACATGGAGGGAGCATAAACTGTGGGCGCCTGTCTGGCTTCTCAGTGTCAGCGGACGACTGCTCATACTGATCCAGGTTCTGCTGGAGGTTTCTTCCTGGTAAAAGGGAGTTTTCCTCTCCTCTGTCGCTACATGCTTGCTTGGTTTGGGGACTGCGCTAAAGTCGCTGACACAAGTCAGTGACTCGATGCAATCTGCTGGCTTCCTAATGAAGGAAACGTTTAAGTAACTGGAATAATGAACTAAACTTGGTGCATAAGTAGGTTCAAGTGTAACATTTACTAATGTGCCTTGAGACGACTTGTTGTGAATTCAATTGAATAACTGTTTATGGTTTTATTTATTTATTTTTTCAGAAAGCAGACGTAATAAAATCACTATTGCCATAGCAACAGATTCTGTGAACTAAACCTACTCACTGGCAGATTTTCCATTGAAACCCAACATTTCCACAGATCTCAAGTCACCCCCAAATCAGCTTTTTTCTTGATAAACTATATAAATGTGTGTCTAATCGTGCTGTAGACACGTGTAGTAAATAATTTGGCACTTTTGTCCATTTTAGTAAAAATTTAAATATTCTGCCTAAAACTGAGTGTTGCGCCCACTTCAGGTAAAAACTCTGCACTGCTTTTGAATTTAGATCCGCCATCGCCATTGGCTAAAAGGTACACTATGACGTTAGCTGGTACATTATGATGTCACAATGTCATTGAGAGCCTGTGTGTGTGTGTGTATTTGTTAGCGGCTCCGCCCTTTCGGTCTGCCATGCAACATCATTTGTTGCATTTTTCAAACACGAAATGGGAGTGGAGTAAGACTCTGGTAGGGGTGACTTGCTCTTTAAGCAGCCGTCTGACACGAATAATCAGCCTGATACTAAAACAGAACCACCTTTTTAAACCTGCGGAGGATTTTTCACCCTGAATTTGGTGTCATCTTACTATCAAACAGCTTTTTTTGGAGGAAGGGCGGCCAGGGGAGCGAAAATATCAGATTAGCTCATTTATCTCAAAGGCGTTCATCAGCAACACAAAGCAGCATCCCCCCACAGACGAGAGAAACCTCAGTGCCTTTTAATGTTGGTTGTCTTACTGTCCTACTGCAGAGCATGCTGATAAGCGATTGTGCCTTTTTGAAACATTTTGTATTTTTAAATGAGTCCAAATCTGCTTTTGACCCGAACACCTGAATGGCGATGTTCTGACTCAATCCACTGAGTGTAAGTGTAAGTAACTGTTGAATGAATGACGTGGAGCATTGAAAATTACACTGACTCATCAACTCTTTTTAAAAAAATTCTACAGTTGCCATGGCGACTCAAGGTATCAGAGCTTCACTGATGATGGCTTTGTGTTGCGCTCATGCATGGACAAGGAAATCTGCCGTCCTGGAGAAGAAAACCTACGAGTTTCTTTGCTTGGGGTGAGTTAGCGTAACGTTTACTGGCGAAATCAGAGTTTGTTGGGCCCCTTTTCAGGAATACCTTCCAGGTCTGTTGTCTAAGAAAAAAAAACATCTGTACATTCATGACAGATGAAAATTATGTAGGGCACTGGTTAGATGTGAAGAAGGCCATAACCAATGTCACATTTAGTTCTCACCATGGTAGAGCAGCTTGAAGTGTACTCCTTCCATATTAGTGAAAACGGAGGGTGAAGGCGGGTCACTGGCCTGGGTCACACACAGCAGCTTCAGCACCATTGGGAGAGAGTTGACTGCAGGTAGAAAACGTGCATGTGAGGGCAGCATAAGGGAGCTAAAAGATGCCTGCTGCCGACATGAATTAGCATAAAGTCATTACCTAATCCAAGACAGCATGCTCCCTGAGCATCTGTCAAACCACAAACAGCAGACGCGGTTTAAACTAACAGGGGAGAATATCTTGCTTTCATTTCTGGACTTAATGACATCCTGGTTTGCTGCCAAGGAATACCTGCTCAGTGTAATCAGTAAAGGTAAAATAAAGAAGAAGTAATTGCACTGGTATCAAATGCACACTTTCAGGAAGAATACTGTGGGTCTGAATCTAGAGGAAAAACAGCCAACATAAAAGGAGATGGAAAAGAAGACGTAGAAATACAGAAAAGACTGGAAAAACACCAGGAAGAGCTTTCTTAGAGCCTAACATCAACATCTTTCCTCTTAAGACTCTGCCACATGGGAGCTAATATACAATACATATTAATGCAAATTACAGTGAGCTGCAGTAGGACACATGCAAGGGTAGATATCTGCAGTCCCCTCAGGATTGGAGATGAGCAAAGAGCATGCAGAGGCTATCCACAGCAACGGCTGGTGCTCTGGTGTTCTGCTCCTCAGCTTTTCTCATTAACCTGGTCAAGTATAGAAACACGAGAACACCCTCTGCCCTAAACTGTCAGTGTTGTGCCGTTGTCAGGTAAAACTCTGCACTGCATTTGAATTTAAATCTGCCATTGCTATTGGCTAAGAGGTACCCTAAAACGTTAGCTGGTACCATGTAGGGCTGCAACAACGAATCAATAAATTCGATGAAAATCGATTACTAAAAGCGTTGGCAACGAATTGCGTCATCCATTCGTTGTGTCGCACAACTCTTCCAAAAGCGCCCCCCCCCCTTCCCGCCCGCCGTTGCGCGCAGACCAGAGCAAGTCAGATCAGAGCGAGGGAGAGCCACAGATCAGCGCGAGGCCGGCAGATCAGCGCGAAGGAGAGCCGGCAGATTTGCGCTGCTGCGAACCGGTTCCGCATTGTTGCGCAGCGATCCAGGCAGCTGCTTCCAGCGCACGGTCCATTCTCAAAGTGGCGCAACCAAAAAACTATAATTAGCACACGATCGTTCATGTCCGCACATGTTCTCTATTTTCTGTCTTATTTGTGCCTGAAGCGCGCTACTGCAGAGCTCATCACCTGTGCTGTGGTGATGTCACCTCACGCAGCATCGAAAACGCGCTCTGCGCTTTTCGGTCAGGAGATGATCTGCTCAAAAGTAACTGATGAGGTGAAAAGGTAAGAATCCAGGCAACAGATTTTCTGGACAATTAAGAGGAGATGCAGGAAGATGAGGGACAGACAGGACAGGAAAATAGTTAAATAAAAACAAGAAAACAAAACAAAGTGTTGAAAAGTCAAATGTAGGTAGATTTATCTCCACTACACATTTTTACCAGTAAAAAACAATAAGTTACACACATGTCATATTTATACATCTGATACAATTCAGATCACCTTCAAAACTCAGTCACACACCCAGGGCCGTTTCAAGACATTTTGGGGGCCAAGGCAAAATGCCCCCCCTCCCCCCCCATAACTGGGCTCCCCAGAAGCCTCTGTGTAATTCATGCCCTCTCCAGTAGTGTTAGTTATATGGTGTTTATAAAAGCCCCTCAGACATTACTGACATGTTCTAATATTATCAGATGAAAAACTAAATTATCAGACATGGCGTCTCATCTGCTTCTTTTCTAAACTTGCAAAAAGTAACAAAACTATTTGAAAGCCACTATTTGTGGATTCTCTGAAAGTTTCCATGGAGTGTGTGACAACTTATTTTTTCATTGATCCTATCGTCTAATCTCACAGCTGAAACAAGCATCCTTAATAATCTGTGCACAGGAAGCTTACCGATCCTGTAGTAAAACAAAAGGTATAATAATTTATTATTAATAAAACCTTGTTGCAGCACTAAAGCAGAAAAATTAGATTTTGCATTAAATATGCAAAATATTTACATATGAATTGTTTTAGAGCCCTTTAATTGGCAGAATCTGATATTAATTTAGTTCTTACAAAAAATGGGTCCCAACATGGTTTGTGTGGCGTTGCCATAGTGTGACATCATAGGCACAGATCCCCTGTCCTCTTGTTTGGAAATGGAAATATGGTCACCCTACATTAAACAAACTGTCCACCCGGGCTTTTGCGCTGCACAGAGACGCTTCGCTGCCTACGACTGAACGTCAGTTGAGAGTCAGTCTCATGCAGACTGACCAATGAAGAGAGGGCCTCAAGTTAAGACCCTCTCCTCATTGGTCAGTCCACACGAGGTGGGTCAAAGGTTACTCTGGGCGGGTTACGTGTTGTCAGGCATTCAAGTATTGAGTATATTTACTGCATATTACAGTAATATATTCTGTATGTGACCACATTATGGTGAACCTTGGGTCGTGATGATGGAGCCCTTGAATATTGTTGCCCAGGGTACAACAAAGTGTTAATCTGGCCCTGGTTCCGCCGTCACATTCCCGCAGAAACTGGTTGATCACACCGGGGCCAGACTACTAGCATGTGGTTTTACAACCACAATGTCCTCAGAAGCAAAAACGCTTTTAAAAGGGAGGGAGGAGTCCTAACTGTTGCTGCAGGCGTGTTGTGTGAGAGTGCAGTAATATACTGGTTAATATATTTTTGGGTTCAGTTGCTTTCATGTGGCCTAATGCGAGTCTATTTGGGATCATTGGAATGATCAGCAGCATTTCTTGATGTGACTTTATGGCAGTTGCCCAGGGCATCATCGCAAGGAGGATGGCATTCATTTACTTTAGTTTTATTTGATATTTGTTCAGTCATTTTTGGAAATAGTGATCAATTTTGATTAATTCACAGCCTATGTTTAATTACATTTAAAATAAATGTCAACAGATGAGATCAAACAAAACAGATGAGAATTGCCCTCAAGCTGTTTAACTTGGACCAAGCATTTTAGGTCACAGATAGATGTAGCTTAGGGTCTCTGTCTATACACCTTATAAGACAATTTAGGTGATGGCATGTTGTTTTTCTGCTATTGAACTGTTTTCTAATAATGTTGTGTTAAATAAAGTGAAGGAAGCAGAGAAATAACGTTTCCCTAGCAGTTTTAAAAAATTTCCCCATGTAATCCGATTAATCGATTAATCGTGTCGAGACCCCATCCGATTCATCGATTATCCAAATAATCGTTTGTTGCAGCCCTAGTACCATGTGATGTCACAATGTCGTTGTGAGCCTGTGTGTGTGTGTGTATTTGTTAGCGAGTCCACCTTCTCGGTCTGCTAGGCAACAGCACTTGTTGCATTTTTCAAACAGGAAGTGGGAGTGAAGTAATACTCTGATAGGGGGTGACTTGCTCTTTAACCAAACCTGTGATACTTCACAGGAATCCAGCCATCACCTAGCAACCACAACACCACAAATACCATAAAAAATGCCTTTTTAACCAGAGTTTGTGACTTTTTTACAGACTTATTAAACGTGGACATGTAATCATTCTAACAGGATCTCTGCCCTAATGAAACACTCAACTGCTCACTGGAAATGTCAAGGAGGTGAGCGTAAATCATAATCAACACCTCTTCTACACTCATTTGGTTTCTGGGAACTCGTTTACAGTTTTATGTAAAAGCCCAAAGTACTTAAAATAATGATTCAGAGAAAAGTGAATCTTCTGTCTTCTCAGTAAAATCTGACGATTTTCACCCACTGTGTGCAAAAGAACGTACGAACCACAGACAGGGAGCGTGCCTAACAGAGATATGGATGCATGTGTGACAAAGCCCAGGTCTAATTCTCTCTCCATATTCTCTGGAGTTCATCTGGGAAGATGACTTTTGCCATAACGTTTACTGAAGCTGTGATTGCTCGGCAGAGCACTTCTAAAAATAATTAGATATGTCTGCATGTGATCATTCAGATTTATAAATAGCTGCATTTTAGATTCAGTGCGGTCAGAAACCCTTAACTAAAGTTTACGTATTTGTTATGGTGACCTAAGAAGGAAGACTTTAAAAAGTTTCATAATTAGTTATTTAGGAGACAGAAAACGTCTTACTAGAACAATAATCAAACTAACTCAGCCAAAGGAGATGACCTAATAAATATAAATCAGTGCAGATATTGTTTTAAAACCATCCTTCTAGATTTGAAAATAATTAAACTAAGTGCTTTTCATTAAGCTGTGTAAAAACGCATGGTGCCAAATCAACCCATTAATCCTTCCACGTTACTTTACAGAAATCAATTGCAGTCTACGCAAGTCCTCGAGCGCTTTTGTCCTTCCCTTCTCTGGCCAACAGTTCCACTCATCATCAAACACAGATGCTATGTTGCTGAGAAAGTGCAGTAAAGAGTTTGAAGAAGCTTTCTGGAGTTTTCTTTTTATTCGAGCTGCCCTGGACCGACCCCCTCTCAATAATAAAACCCTGGTAGAAAGGTAGCAGTGATTTGTGACCTCACAGAGGATGACATCAACCTGTAAGTCCTCTAAAGTCATGGACTGGCCTGGATCCATGTTTGGGTTATGAGATCCTACCTTGTACAGTTTTGGACACGATCAGATTACCGACACTCACAGCTGATTTCGTCTCTACAGTCATTTAAATATGTGGATCACTCGTTTGATCAATACATTTGCAATGGTCTCAAGTTGGAATGAATGCCTTGTAGGTCGTGGGGGAACCTTGCCTTGATGTATTGGCCCCGCCCCGGTTGCCTAGGAGATATGTCGTTCTACCGAGTCGTGTGTTCTCCGTTTGTTAGCCGTTTAGCTAGCTGAGCGAGGATACACGGGAGGTGTCTTGTAGCCTAGCCTTGGTAAAAAATTACCCACAATAAACCGCGGTATTTTCTAAAGAACGGCGGATCAGAAGCCGGCAGCTACTTCGGGACAATTTTCAAGTTGAAAAGTAAGTCAGCAAATTTAAAATGTTTTTTTTTAGATCCAAAGAAGTTATCTATGGTTGGTTAGTTGCTTAGTAGTTGCAGCTTCGGTGGCTAGAGGGTAGTAACTCACTTATATTTTTAATTTAATAAACATATGCACAATTTAAAAAGTAAAATGCTCGTTATATATTTATATTGAAACTAATACATATAAAATGTAACGTTATCTCCTGTGTCTCTCGTCTCGTCTCGTCTTCCTCCGCTTATCCGGGTCCGGGTCGCGGGGGCAGCATCCCAACTAGGGAGCTCCAGGCCGTCCTCTCCCCGGCCTTGTCCACCAGCTCCTCCGGCAGGACCCCAAGGCGTTCCCGGACCAGATTGGAGATGTAACCTCTCCAACGTGTCCTGGGTCGACCCGGGGGCCTTCTGCCGGCAGGACATGCCCGAAACACCTCCCCGGGGAGGCGTCCAGGAGGCATCCTGACCAGATGCCCAAACCACCTCAACTGGCTCCTTTCGATCCGGAGGAGCAGCGGTTCTACTCCGAGTCCTTCCCGAATGTCCGAGCTCCTCACCCTATCTCTAAGGCTGAGCCCGGCCACCCTACGGAGGAAACTCATTTCGGCCGCTTGTATCCGCGATCTCGTTCTTTCGGTCATTACCCAAAGCTCATGACCATAGGTGAGGATTGGGACGTAGATCGACCGGTAAATCGAGAGCCTGGCTTTCTGGCTCAGCTCCCTCTTCCCCACGACAGATCGGCTCAGCGTCCGCATCACTGCAGACGCCGAACCAATCCGCCTGTCGATCTCCCGATCCCTCCTACCCTCACTCGTGAACAAGACCCCGAGATACTTAAACTCCTCCACTTGAGGTAGGACCTCTCCCCCGACCCGGAGGTGGCAAGCCACCCTTTTCCGGTCGAGAACCATGGTCTCAGATTTGGAGGTGCTGATCCTCATCCCAGCCGCTTCACATTCGGCCGCGAACCTACCCAGCAAAAGCTGAAGGTCAGAGCTGGATGAAGCTAGGAGGACCACATCATCCGCAAAAAGCAGAGACGAGATTCTCCTGCCACCAAACTCGACACACTCCACACCACGGCTGCGTCTAGAAATTCTGTCCATAAAAGTGATGAACAGAACCGGTGACAAAGGGCAGCCCTGGCGGAGTCCAACCCTCACTGGGAACAGGTCCGACTTACTACCGGCTATGCGGACCAAACTCACGCTCCTCTGGTAAAGGGACTGAATGGCCCTTAACAGAAAGCCACCCACCCCATACTCCTGGAGCGTCCCCCACAGGGTGCCCCTGGGGACACGGTCATAAGCCTTCTCCAAATCCACAAAGCACATGTGGATTGGTTGGGCAAACTCCCATGCCCCCTCCATCACCCTTGCAAGGGTATAGAGCTGGTCCACAGTTCCACGGCCAGGACGAAAACCACATTGCTCCTCCTCTATCTGAGATTCAACTATCGATCGGACCCTCCTCTCCAGTACCTTGGAGTAGACCTTTCCAGGGAGGCTGAGGAGTGTGATCCCCCTATAGTTGGAACACACCCTCAGGTCACCCTTCTTAAAGATGGGGACCACCACCCCGGTCTGCCACTCCACAGGAACTGCCCCCGATGACCACGCAATGTTGTAGAGACGTGTCAACCATGACAGCCCTACAACATCCATAGCCTTGAGATACCCAGGACGAACCTCATCCGCCCCCGGGGCTCCGCCGCTGTGTAGTTGTTTGACTACCTCAGCAACTTCTGCCCCCGAGATCGGACAGTCCATCCCCAGGCCTCCCAGCTCTGGTTCCTCCTCGGAATGCGCATTGGTGGGATTGAGGAGCTCCTCAAAGTATTCCTTCCACCGTCCGACTATAGCCTCAGTTGACGTCAGCAGCTCCCCATCCCCACTGTAAACAGTGTGAGCGAGTTGCTGCCTTCCTCTCCTGAGGCGCCGGACAGTTTGCCAGAACCTCTTTGGAGCCGATCGATAGTCTTTCTCCATGGCCTCACCAAACTCCTCCCACGCCCGAGATTTTGCCTCGGCAACTGCCACTGCTGCACCCCGCTTGGCTATCCGGTACCTGTCTGCTGCCTCCGGAGACCCACAGACCAGCCACGCCCTGTAGGCCTCCTTCTTCACCCTGACGGCTCCCCGAACCTCTGGTGTCCACCAGCGGGTACGGGGGTTGCCACCACGACTGGCACCGGCCACCTTACGACCACAGCTAGCAACAGCCGCCTCGACAATCGCAGAGTGGAACAAGGCCCACTCGGACTCAATGTCCCCCACTGCTCTCGGGACGTGGTCAAAGCTCTGCCGGAGGTGGGAGTTGAAGACCGTCTTGACAGGTTCTTCTGCCAGGCGTTCCCAGCAGACCCTCACTATGCGTTTGGGTCTGCCAGGTCTACGCGGCATGTTCCCTTGCCATCTGATCCAACTCACCACCAGGTGGTGATCAGTTGACAGCTCCGCCCCTCTCTTCACTCAGGTGTCCAAAACATACGGCCGCAGGTCAGATGATACGACTACAAAATCTATCATCGACCTGTGACCTAGGCTGCCCTGGTACCAAGTGTACCGGTGGGCATCCTTATGTTCGAACATGGTGTTCGTTATGGCCAAACTGCGGCTTGCACAGAAGTCCAATAACAAAACACCGCTCGAGTTCAGATTAGGTGGGCCGTTCCTCCCAATCACACCCCTCCAGGTCAAGCTGTCATTGCCCACGTGAGCATTGAAGTCCCCCAGCAGGACAATGGAGTCCCCTGATGGAGCACTATCTAGCACTCGTCCCAGGGACTCCAAAAAGGGTGGGTACTCTGAACTGATATTTGGCCCATAAGCACAAACAACAGTCAGGACCCGTTCCCCGACCCGAAGGCGCAAGGAAGCTACCCTCTTGTCCCCCGGGGTAAACCCCAACACACAGGCAGAGAGTCTCGGGGCTAACAAAAAGCCAACCCCAGCCCTCCGCCTCTCACCCGGAGCAACTCCAGCAAAGTAGAGTGTCCAACCCCTCTCCAGGTCTCGGGTTCCAGAGCCAATGCAATGTGTCGAGGTGAGTCCGACTATATCTAGCCGGTACCGCTCAACCTCTGCCACAAGCTCCGGCTCCTTCCCCGCCAGCGAGGTGACGTTCCATGTCCCAAAAACTAGTTTTCTTGTCCGGGGATTGGACCGCCAAGGCTCCCGCCTTGGTCTGCCACCCGATTCACATTGCACCGGACCCTTCATGTTCCTCCTGCGGGTGGTGGGTCCACAGTTGGACGAGCCCATGTATCCGGTTCGGGCTGGGCCCGGCCGGGCCCCATGGGCGAAAGCCCGGCCACCAGGCGCTCGCTCACGGGCCCCAACCCCAGGCCTGGCTCCAGGGTGGGACCCCGGTAACCCTCCGGGCCGGGTACTCCGACTCTTCGTTTTAACCGCCATGAAAGATCCTTCGAACCGTTCTTTGTCTCACCCTTCACCTAAGACCAATTTGTCATGGGAGACCCTTATCTCCTGTGTCACGTGATGCAAGTCTGTTCCATTTAGCCGTTTTCTTTGACCAAGGAAGGACAGTGTCCTCGCAAAACAAGGCGCTTTGACATTGAGAAACACCCCTGATATTTGGAAATCTTGCCTCAGATTGGAAAACAGCAGTGACTCTACCACTGACCATGTGACATAGATCTGTCAGGCTTTTCTAATCCTAGAGTTTCACCGTCTGTTTTCTATCAGAAGCTAATGCAGGAGACAGGTAGGTGTAGGAGACTATTTTCATGTTCAGCCTACATGAAAAACCGTGAGTAACCCATTAGAATCAGACAATCTGTATCATTAAAAAAAGGTTTTCCGGGTACATCCAACCGGGAGGAGACCTAAAGGTAGACCCAGGAAACGTTGGAGGGACTATGTCTCTCAGCTGGCCAGGAAACGCCTTGGGATTCCTCCGGAGGAGCTGGCCCAAGTGGTTGAGGTGAGGGAAGTCTGGGCCTCCCGACTTAGGCTTCTGTCCCCGCAACCTGACTCCGGATAAGCGGATGAAGATGGATGGATGGATGGATGGATAATGTTAAAGTTAAAGTCCTATCAGTTGTCACACACACTGATGTGTGTGCGAAATTTGTTCTCCGCATTTGACCCATCCCCTGGGGGAGCGGTGAGCTGCAGACACAGCCGCGCTCGGGAACCATTTGGTGGTTTAACCCCCCAATCCAACCCCTTAATGCTGAGTGTCAAGCAGGGAGGCATTGGGTCCCATTTTTTCAGTCTTTGTTATGACCCGACCAGGAATCGAACCCTGATCTCCCAGTCTCAGGGCGGACACTCTACCACTAGGACACTGAGCTGGTTGGACAAAGAAAAGACATGTTACGTGTTGTATTACATCTCTCTGTGTAGAAACTGATTGTACCCGAGTGTGTGTATTATATGTGTGTGTGTTTGTCCATTAAAGGGATTTAGACGCTTTACAAAGTTTTATTATGCATAATGTAATAATAAAAAACAATCAGCTGCACGATTACGAAAAATATCTGCACATAAACTGCAGTCTGTGTAAATACAGAATACTTTAATATGTGCATAAGAAATCTGAGTCATCTCATTCAAATCCGTTCCACCAAAGACAAAGATATGAGTCGCTGTCTCCACATTTCTATGTGCATGCATAAATCATTAAAGCGGCAATATTGATTATGCTGCATACCCGGTGGGCTGTGATCACGGCCGAGTCCATTATCCACACTGAGCCTCTGTAATGCCTGGAGCAGGGCTGGTCTGAGGTTGGAACACAAATCTGTCGTGTACTCTCTGTTCCCATGCAGAAGAGCCTCCAGGACACCCAGAGCCCGCTCAGCCAGGGGAGGCTCTCTGCTTATCAGCATGTCCTACAGAAGGACAGCAAGGCAACTATTCATTATTAAAGACCTTCTGATATGAACACAAGTCCACAAACATGTAGGATTTATTTATTATAACTAAAGTCCCATCATGCATTTGACCCACCGCCTTTCAAGCCAGAGTTTTAAACTATGATTAGTTAATGTTGAGAAATTATGGAGTGATGGTTAGTTTGGTCAAAACTCAAAACTCATCTTATGTTACACAACGCTGGTGGTGTGTGTTGTCACCAAGCCCCCATAATCCTGGTATGAAAATGAAGCCAACACAGAAGTGACAAAAATTGCAGTTCCCCCCTCATCCACTAGGGGCTGGTGTCAGAAGCGAGCAAATCCTCATTGACTCCCATGTTAAAAATGCCAATTTCACAGCAGAAATAAACATGTTTACAGCCTGGTACCAAATCATGTTTTTGGTTTAAATGATCTAGTTTACACTCATGACAACTCTGAGGGGGGTGAATGTTTTTCTCACTCTTCTGTTTAAGTGTATTAAAAGCCTAAAATTCTGTATAATTAATGAGCATCAGACCCACGTGACCACAGAGCTAGCTCCGTGGAAAGGCCTCAGTAGAGCCTCGGCCTCGCCTGGAAACTGTTCAAGCATTTTCAGTCTCTCAACTTAGACCATTAGTTGTAGCGTTACTGCGTTCTTTTTTGGATATTATTTGTGCAACTGTTGGACAAAATGACTTGCTGTGGCATTAATTGCACTAATAAAGGGTCCAAGGAGTCTCCACTTCATTTTTTTTGGTAAGTAAAATTATATTTATGTATTTTTAGGTCACTGCCGCTCTTGCACTAGCATTGCAGTTTAGTATCTGAAGAACACAGAGTTGGTGCCATTTTTTGTGTTTTCTGCGGCTGAACAGCTAGGGTGGACACCTCGAATTGAATTTGATTGATTAAAGTTAAAAAATGGTTTTGATATAAATAGACTGTCACTGAACCTGAACAAAACAAACTTTATACTGTATAATAACAGAAGAAGCTGTGATGTATCTTTAATGATAGATGGAATGGAAATTCAAAGAGTAAAAGAAACCAACTTTCTTGGAGTCATGTTCGATGAGAGTCTCACGTGGAAATCACATGTAGGCTATATAAAGGGGAAAATCGCCAAAGCCATAGGTGTATTATATAGAGTCAAGTTTCTACTAAATTTGTCGGGTTTATTAACATTGTACCACTCACTGATTAAACCATATTTATTTTATTGTTTAGAAATTTGGGGAGCCACTTGCAAAACTTTTACACAACCGTTGTTCATTTCAGTTCCGTTCAGTTCAGTTCATTTTATTTCAAACATTCATCAACATTTCATAAAATCATTCCATGCAGTTGTTTGAAAAGGAGTAGGGAGAAGTATATACTTATTTAGCCCTACCCCCTCAGGTTTACATCCTCATCATCTAAATTTAAACAACAAAACATTTACAGTGCCTTCATAAAATAAATAAATAAATAAAATTCTCATGTTCAACTAGAACTATCTTTAGATTTGCTAATTTGTAGAAGAGATTAAACATCAGTTTGCATGCTGTCCTGGGTTAATTGCATTTTCGTCATTTTTATACTTATGTAACATTTCTTTTTTGAGTTTTATTTTAAACTGGTTTATATCACTACTGTCCTTTATTTCTTCTGTTAACTCGTTCCAGAATCTAACGCCCGCTATTGAAATAGACATCCTTTTCAATGTTGTTCTTACTCTTTGTACTTTTAAATTCCACTTCCCTCTAAAATTATACCTCCCTTCTCTTTCTAAGAACCATTTACTTATTTCAAGAGGGAGCATCCCTTTCCTTGCCTTATATATTATTTGCACAGTTTTAAACTTGACCAGGTCCTGGAATTTTAAAGCTTGCATCTTAATAAAGAGTGTGTTTGTGTGAGCCCTATACCCCTCCTGATTTATTAGTCTAATAGCCCTTTTCTTCATTATGATTATGGTCTGAATATTGCTTTTATATGTGTCTCCCCAAACCTCTACACAATAACTCATGTATGGTAATAGTAAAGCACAATATAACATATATAATGTTTTCCTATCCAGAAGACGTTTTACTTTCCCCAAGACAGCAATGCCCCGTGCTAACTTTCCCCTCACATAAGTGATGCGTGATTTCCAACAGGCCTTATGATCAATGACCACACCAAGAAATTTTATGGTATTAACCCTTTCTAGATACACATTATCAACACAAATTTCAATGTTAATGTTTTTCTTATAGTTTCCGAATAACATAAATTTTGTTTTATTTAAATTTAAGGACAATTTGTTTCTATCAAACCACTTCTTTAATATCTTTATTTAGCAAAAAAGAGCATTGAGAATCATTAATAACAGTAACTATAGAGATCACACTAATCAATTATTCATTAGATACAAAATACTGAAATTTCTGGACTTGGTAGAGTGGAAAATATTGCAAATAATTTACAGAGGGAATACGAGTAATCTACCAACTAATATTCAGAAAATGTTTCATAAGAGAGTAAGTGGGTACATGTTAAAAGGAACTGATGTCTTTGAGAAACCTAGACTCAGAACCAAAGTGAAGGAATGTAACATTTCTGTAAATGGTGTAAGATTGTGGAATGCCATTAACAAGGAATTTAAAGAATCAACTTCACTTGCTATATTTAAAAAATGTATAAAATCTAACGTATTTAGTAATTATGAAAAGGTGAATTATAATGTCAAAGATTAGACATGAAAATATTAGAAAGTGACTGAGGTTATATTGTGTTTGTTTGACGGATAATTTTATTTCGTAAAAAGGGGCAGAAATTATAAGATTTTTTCTTCTATCTGCTCCTTTTCATTCAAATGTTTTTTTCCAATATGTTAATGTATCCTGTATTTGTTTGTGTTTATTTTATACATTTTGAATGAAATAAAAGATTAAAAAAAATTATTATCATACTGAATTGCCACTATCAACAAAGAAGTCCAAGATCCAAGACGTTTTTTTTTAAACTGCAATTCCCTCAACAGAAGTACTTCAATCTAAAGAAATGTTGAAACCAATATTCGGAAAAACAATCAGGGTTTACCCCCACACTTAATGAAAATTAATGTGCGTGATGTAAAGCGCTCAGCTTCTGTGACGCAGATCATTTATCCTGTAAAAACGCCAAACTTTATCTCAAAACCTTTAAACAGGGTATATGCAGGAATCTTGAAGTTGAATTGAATACCTTTTCAAGATTTTTTGAAGATCTTCTCAATATTTTTTAATACCTCACCGCCATTTCAAGGTGTATCCATTTACAGTGATCAGTGACACTTTTAACATTTCGGTGCATTCGTAATGCGCACCGGCAACACCAGAGCGTATATTGTGGTTTTGAACTTTCGCTCCGCCCGCCCTAGTGCTCTGAGAGGAAAATTACTAACGCACCCACAATACCCAGTTCGTTTTTTAAATAAAAATGACTAAATGCACACACTTTTACAATATTTTAGGGATTCAAACTGTTAAGACGGTTAATTCAGAAAAAATAATTTCAAAATTGAAGACTTTAATAAGCCGTGATAAGACTTTTTAATACTTTTTAAGGGTCTTACTTTTAGCAAAATTGATTTACCACCCTTTAATACTTTTCGAGACTCCGCGGTTACCCTGTTAAAACAGACTCACAGCAATGCCACGGTTATTAGCTGTGGCGGCCATCTTGAATAAGGCCTACTCTAAATATTAATCATCTATAGAAATGCATCCCATAACAACAACAGTAATTTGTGTGTTTCACGCAAATCTGTTCAGCTGTTCATGAGACCTTTTTATAACACACACACACACACACACACACACACACACACACACACACACACACACACACACACACACACACACACACACACACACACACACACACACACACACACACACACACACACACACGAACATTTGAATGTGTTTTAACAACAATGTAACTCACAATGAGCATCAGAAGGACATTTGGGTATTTCTCGATTAGAGTCAGTATCTCTGTCGTTTGGGTGTCTGGTTCCTCATTCTGCTCGTCATCTTCACTCTCCTCCTCTTTGGCCTGCAACAAGAGACAAAACCCACTAACGATCATAATTTCTGAAAGGAAATTTTAAACTTTTCAACTGGTTGTGGTGAAGAGTATTCTCACCATGCTCTGCTCCGCATCATCGTGTGATTTCCTAGTCAACCAAAGCTCCAGAACCAGGGGCCCAAATTTTTCTGCTAGCTCTTGATATCGACAAACGAAGTGGAGGAGAGCAGGATGGTGAGAGTAGATGGAGGAGAAGCTTTGGCAGGAGGAGAATGCTTTGCAGATATAATTCAAAGGAACCTTGAAATCGACAGTAAAGGAAGAGACTGATGAAGCCAACGTGCTTCCATTGAGATGTGTGGGCATTATCGAGTTAAATGTTTGCAGCTCAGTCTATACACCACTCCTTTTTAACACCACTGAAGCAGAGCCTTCAGATACAACAGAAGTATCTCTTTTCTGCTCCCCAACATATAACTTAGCCGAACGTTTATGCTGTTAAGGTCTTTCAGAGACGTGATACTGTATGTTCTTTGAAGTGAAGCAGCACATTTTTTGTTCTGCAGACCAGCAGAGACCTTGTGTGTGAAGATGGATAACAGCTGTTTCACTTTGAGTACTCCATGACTTTTACATTAATGGTTTTCATTTTAAACCAGAGTACTTAAGCTCCTGTTCTTAGTTTTGTCTCCCTCTATGAACAAAAACCGTTGGGCGGTTTAATCTCGATAAAATCTTTCAATATTAATGTCTCACAGATTCCCTTTAAACATTTCTCAAATAACAATGTTAGAAGCTTTCATTAGAGCTGAGTCACTGAACAACAATTAAAACGAAAATGGCAGAATTAAAGCAAATGCAGATCATTATCCTCTGATGGAAGGTAAAAAGTGTTTATGATACATAAATGCCTATGTAACTTAAAAGTTCCAAAAGATATAGATCAACAAGATTTTATGTTAAATTTTTAAGGTAAAATTTTATTTTTCAGAGACCTGCGGGCGTTGTACCAGTCTGTCGTGGTGAAGAGAGAGCTGAGTCAGAAGGTGAAGCTCTCGATTTACCGGTCGATCTAAGTTCCTACCCTCACCTATGGTCATGAGCTTTGGGTAGTGACCGAAAGAACGAGATTGCGGATACAAGCGGCCGAAATGAGTTTTCTCCGAAGAGTGGCTGGGCTCTCCCTTAGAGATAGGGTGAGAAGCTCGGTCATTCGGGAGGGGCTCGGAGTAGACCCGCTGCTCCTCCACATCGAGAGGAGCCAGTTGAGGTGGCTCGGGCGTCTGGTCAGGATGCCTCCTGGACGCCTCCCTGGTGAGGTTTTCCGGGCACGTCCAACCGGGAGGAGACCTAAAGGTAGACCCAGGACACGGTGGAGGGACTATGTCTCTCACCTGGCCAGGGAACGCCTTGGGATTCCCCCGGAGGTGCTGGCCCAAGTGGCTGGGGAGAGGGAAGTCTGGGCCTCTCGACTTAGGCTTCTGCCCCCGCGACCCGACTCCGGATAAGCGGATGAAAATGGATGGATGGATGGAATTTTATTTTTAAATATAATAATATGTTTTAATATCCTAGCCTGATACCGTAGCTCTCTGTATCATTAAAAACACAATGCTGTCTTTTATTTTGGCCCTTTAAGACAGAAATATCTCTAATTTAGAGCTTAAAGAGCAAGTCGCCCCCTAACAAGAAGCGTACTTCACTCCCACTTCATGTTTGAAAAATGCAACAAATGCTGTTGCCTAGCAGACCGAGAGGGTGGAGCCACTAACAAATACACACACTCACAACATTGTGACATCATAATGTACCAGTTTACATCATAGCATACCTCTTAGCCAATAGCGGTGGCAGATTTAAATTCAAATGCAGTGAAGAGTTTTTACCTGACAACGGCACAACACTGACAGTTTCAGGCAGAAAATTTAAATTTGAACTAAAATGCACTTAAGTGCAAAACTATTAACTACACGTGTCTGCAGCACGATTAGACACGCATTTATATAGTTTATCAGAAAAAAATAGTTGATTTGGGGGTGACTTGCTCTTTAAGTCTCCCCCCTTCCGGTTGGCTCTTGGGTCGCTGAATGAGGCTATGAAAATTATTTTCTGGTCCGCTTTGCCTTATGCTCTGAATCACACATATGTTGACCCCCAATCGAAATGAAGAGTAATTAAGTGTATTTCAACTATATCTGTCACGTAATTAAGAGATTTAGCTTGTAAAAATGCAAATAAAAAGACTACAAATTAGACACTGCATATATCAAGAAAATGACTGACAACCCTGAGCATTCTCTTCACAAGACTGTCCGACAACAGAAGTGTGTCTTCAGTCTGAGGCTTCTTCAGTTTCGCTGCAACACTGACCGCTACTGGAGATCCTTCCTGCCAACAGCCATTGTAATATACAACTCTTTGACATTATTATTCTGAGCTACTACAGCAATTAATTTCCCTCTGGGATTAATAAAGTATTTTTGAATTTAATTGAATTGAATATGACATCACAGCAAAATTAGCAGAGAAAACGTGAGTAAGTTCTAAAAGTTAAACTACTTTAATGGTGATTGCGATAAATCCAGCTGATACAAAACCTTTCACAGCAACAGAATGTCTTGTTTTTTGTTCTGCACACAGATCAGATTTTTACCACATCGAGACGGGGGCTCTTGTCTTGGGTCACAGCCAGCAGGTAAAGGGCTGAGCGGAGGACACAGCAAGGCACATAGGAGTCCCCTTGCTCCTGCATTGACTGCAGCAACACCACCACACTGGAGAACACGGACTGGTCTGGGAGCAGCCTGGATTACATAAACATACAGTGATGATTTTTAAACTTCATCATATGAGCTAAAATTCTAACTTGAACCAAGAAAAATTAGCACATTTATCGCTAATTGTTTAATATAAAAGGTACACATAAGACAAAACACTACTGGTACAGAAGTAGAAGGGCTGCTGTACACACAGGCATATCTAATAAAATAAAGGCTCATTTCAGAAAGTGAAACTCACATATGATATAGATTTCTTACACAAACAGTGAAATATTTTCAAGCCTTTATTATTTGTAATTATAATGATTATTGCTACAGAGTATGGACCCAAAATTCAGTCTAAAAGAAATTAACAGAACTATCGACAAAGGGCAGGCTTAGTTGAGTCCAACTCTCACTGAGAACGAACCCTACGTTCTGCCGACAATGTGGACCAAGCCCTGGCACCGATCGTACGGGGACCTGGAGAGCCCGACTTGAATTCCACATACTCCACTTCCTCACTGGAAGATGTGCCGATGGGATTGAGGACGTCTTCAAAGTACTCTGCTTACCAACCCACGATGTACCAACTACCATACCATACTATACCCTACCAACTTTATTTCTATAGCACAATTTAAGACACAGCGTGAGAGCTGACCAAAGTGCCGAACAGGCAGGTTCAATTAAAACAAAAAAGAAAAAACAATGAGGAGATAAAACACAACAATAAAAACTATAAAATCATAATACCATAACACGAATCACAGTCTTAAAGCCAAGTGATAAAAGTTGGTTTTTAAACAAGATTTAAAAACAGGCAGAGAGGATGCCAGCCAACTGTAATGGGCAGTGAGTTCCAGAGCATGTAACTGATAAAAACAAGACCTCACCACTGAGTTGATCTGAGGAGTCATTGAGAGGTTGGCATCCACTTTCACCCCGAGGCTTATTACACACTGCTTGGGGTTTAAACCATCAAAAGTGGAATGAGAGCCAGAAGGATTGCAGGTATCAAAGACAATGGACTCAGTCTTTAAATCATTCAACCTGAGCAAATTGGCCACTAGCAAGCCCTTTACGTCTGCCAGGCATGCCGCAAGATGAGAGCCCACATTTCCATTTTTTAGTGCAACATATATTTGACAATCGTCAGCATAGATGTGATAATTAAGACTGTGCCGATTTAGGATTTTGCTCAGTGGTAGGAGATATATAGAGAAAAGAAGAGGCCCCAGAACAGGCCCCAAGTTTAGGCCAGCAGCACACTGTCCTCACCATCAACAGTATTGTAAGTGCAGTCTCCCCCTCCTCAGATGCTGGATGGTGGCCTAGAACAGCCTCAAACCCATACTTAAGTAATTTCCATGGCCTCACCACATTTCTCACATGCCCAGGTTTTTCCTCAGCGACCAACTGAGATGCATTCCACTTGGACAGCCTGTACTTATCGGCCGCATCTAGAGTCCTACAGGCCAAAAAGACCCAAAAAGGCTCCTTCTTTAGCTTGACAGCATCCCTAACCGCCGGTGTCTACCAGCGAGTTTGGAGGTTTTGAGGCTTGAGCCAGTGCTTACTGACTCGGCTGCAGCTGGTCCGGAATGCTGTTGCCGGATTTCTTTATGGAGCACGGAAATGGGAGCATGTCACTCCACTCCTGACTGCTTTGGACTGGTTACCAGTGAAACACTATCTTATTCAAGATCCTGGTCTTTGTTTTTAACTATTTCTCTGGAACTGCCCCACCATATTTGGCATCACTGCTGACCCGTTATGTCCCTGCAAGATCATTGTGTTCGGGTCAGAGTGACTTGGTGGTTCCGCTGTCACAGCAGTAGTCCAGGGGTGATCATGCCTTTTCAGTTCTGGGTCCTCCGCTTTGGAAACAACTCCCACTAGAAACAAAACAGTCTACATCACTGCCCATTTTTAAAGCTATGCTGAAGGTTCATCTTAGGTCTAGTTCTTAACTTTTGTACTCATGTTTTCAATGTTCTGATCATTTTTGTTTTATGACTTTTTAAATCTTCTACTGCCTTTTAAATGTTGTATTTCCGCATTTTATTATACAACTGTTTCATTGTGTTTGAGTTGTTCTTAACACTTTGTTCAGCAACTTGGCCCCCCCACGTAAAACATGTATTTTGTGGATTTGAAGGAGTTTAACTGCGTCCCTTGAGAGGTCCTGTGGGGGGTACTTCGGTAGTATTAAGGTACCAGGCCTTCTGATACGGGCTGTTAGGTCCCGATATGACCGGTATCAGAGCTTGGTCCACATTGCTGGCAGTAAGTCAGGCTCGTTTCCGGCGAGAGTTTGCCCAGGCTGCCCCTTATCACCAATTCAGTTCATACCTTTTATGGACAGGATTTCGAGCGCAGCCAAGGTGTTGAGGGGATCTGTTTTGGTGGCCTAAGGTTTGAGTCTCTGCTTTTTGCAGATGAAATGATCCCGTTGGCTTTATCAGAACATGATCTTCAGCTTGAGCTGGAGCAGTTTACAGCCGAGTGAGAAGCAGCTGGGATGAGAATTAGCCCCTCTAAATCTGAGACCATGGTCTTACATCCATCCATCCATCCATTTTCATCTGCTTATCCGGAGTCGGGACACGGGGGCAGTAGCCTAAGGTGAGAGGCCCAGACTTCCCTCTCCCCAGCGACTTGGGCCAGCTCCTCTGGGGGAATCCCAAGGTGTTCCCTGGCCAGGAGAGAGACATAGTCCCTCCACCGTGTCCTGGGTCTACCTTTAGGTCTCTTCCCGGTTGGATGTGCCCGGAAAACCTCACTCGGGAGGTGTCCAGGAGGCATCCTGACCAGGTACCCGAGCCACCTCAACTGGCTCCTCTCGATGTGGAGGAGCAGCAGATCTACTCTGAGCCCCTCCCGAATGACTGAGTTTCTCACCCTATCTCTAAGGGAGAGCCCAGCCACTCTTTGGAGAAAACTCATTTTGGCCGCTTGTATCCGCGATCTTGTTCTTTCGGTCACTACCCTAAGTTCATGACCATAGGTGAGGGTAGGAACTTAGATCGACCAGTAAATCGAGAGCTTCACCTTCTGACTCAGCTCTCTCTTCACCACAACAGACTGGTACAACGCCCTCATCACTGCAGATGCAGCACGAATCCGCCTATCGATCTCACGCTCCAGTTTTCCCTCACTCGTAAACAAGACCCCAAGATACTTAAACTCCTCCACTTGGGGCAGGACCTCATCCCTGACCTGGAGAAGGCATTCTACCCTTTTCCGAATCAAGACCATGGTCTCAGATTTAGAGGAGCTGATTCTCATCTCAGCTGCTTCACACTCGGCTGCAAACCGCTCCAGCGAAAGCTGAAGATCACGTTCTGATGAAGCCAACAGGACCACATAATCTGCAAAAAGCAGAGACCTGGTCCTCTGGCCACCAAAATGGATGCCCTCCACACCTTGGCTGCTCCTAGAAATCCTGTCCATAAAGGTTATGAGCAGAAAAGGTGATAAAGGGCAGCCTTGGCGGAGTCCAACTCTCACTGGGAACGAGCCCGACTTACTGCCAACAATACGGACCAAGCTTTGACACCGGTCATACAGGGACCTAACAGCCCGTATCAGAGGGCCTGGTACCCCATACTCCTGGAGTACCCCCCACAGGGTCCCCCGAGGGACGTGGTCAAACGCCTTCTCCAAATCCACAAATCACATGTAGACTGGTTGGGCAAATTCCCACGCACCCTCCAGGAACCCCTAAGGGTAAAGAACTGGTCCAGTGTTCCACTGCCAGGACGAAAACCACATTGCTCCTCCTGAATCTGAGGTTCAATAATCCGACGAACCCTCCTCTCCAGAACCCCTGAATAGACCTTACTAGGAAGGCTCAGGAAAGTGATCCTCCTGTAGTTGGAACACACCCTGCGGCCCCCCTTTTTAAATAAGGGGACCACCACCCCGGTCTGCCAGTCCAGTGGGACTGCCCCCGATGTCCATGCGATATTGCAGAGATGCGTCAGCCAACACAGCCCCACAAAATCCAGAGCCTTAAGGAACTCCGGGTGGATCTCATCCACCCCCGGAGCCTTGCTACAGAGGAGCTTTTTAACCACCTCAGTGACCTCAGCACCAGAGATTTCAAAGGCCAACCCAAAGTCTCCAGACTCTGCTTCCTCACTGGAAAACGTGTAGGTGGGATTGAGGAGGTCTTCGAAGAATTCTGCCCACTGATCCATAATGTCCTGAGTAGAGGTCAGCAGTACACCGTCCCCACTATAGATAGTGTTGGTAGTGCACTGCTCCTCCCCCCCCAGGCGCCAGATGGTGGACCAGAATCTCATCGAAGCCGTACGGACGTCTTGCTCCAAGGTCTCACAGAACTCCTCCCATGCCCGGGTTTTTGCCTAGGCGACCACCCGAGCCGCGTTCCACTTGGACTGCCGGTACCCGTCAGCTGCCTCTGGAGTCCTACAGGCCAAAAAAACCTGATAAGACTCTTTCTTCAGTTTGACAGCAGGTTCGGGGGATGCCACCACGACAGGCACCGATGATCCTGCGACCACAGCTCCGGTCGGCCGCCTCAACAATGGAGGCACGGCACAGGGTCCATTCAGACTCAATGTCCCCAGCCTCCCCCGCAACATTTTGGAAGTTCTGTCGGAGGTGGGAATTGAAGCTCCTTCTGACAGGAGACTTTGCCAGATGTTCCCAGCAGACCCTCGCGATAAGTTTGGGCCTGCCTGGTCTGACCGGCATCCTCCCCACCATCTGAGCCAACTCACCACTATGTAGTGGTCAGTTGACAGCTCTGCCCCCTCTTCACCCGAGTGTCCAAGACATGCGGCCGCCGGTCAGATGAAACAACAACAAAGTTGATCATCGAGCTGCGGCCTAAAGCCTGGTTTATGCTTCTCCGTCAGCTCCGCAAGGGACAGACACGCACGGATTGACGGAAGCGTTTTGCTCTTTGACTTCTCCGTCTCCTGGAGAGTGTTGCAAAGCAATTGCCCGGCAGGACAACAGAGGGCATAGCGCTGTTCTGTGGTATCATGTCATGTATTGGTCCAAGATCGTGTGTTTATATTGTGTTTTTTGTGTATATAAGAGACTTTTAACACGGACATATTTTTCTCTCATTCTCCCACTGCTTCATGCGCTCCCTACCTCTAAACCCACGTTTCCTGTCATTTCCGTCCACAAATAAAACGCTTGCTGCGCATCTTTTCACTCCTCCAGTCACAGGAGAATGAAACGTTCATATTTTTAGAGTTTTTTTGTGAGGCATTCTTCAAGCTTTTCCGTGTCTGCCGCTAGTTATCCTCAGCTCTCTTTGCAATGGCGGCGCTGTAAACAACAGCGGCGTTCTGACCAATCACAAGCTTGCGTAATCCGTCTCGTTCGACGGATGTTTAAAAAAGTGGGCTCGACTCCGTACGAACTTGCGTGCCTGCCGGAGCCCTACGCAAGGACGGATAATGGCGTTGCGTGTCTCCGCACTGACGCAGACAAGTGGCCGAAATTAGTTTTTCCGCAGGGTGGCTGGGCTCTCCCTTAGAGTAGGGTGAGAAGCTCAGTCATCCGGGAGGGGCTTGGAGACTAGACTTGGATGTCTTCCACATCGAGAGGAGCCAGCTGAGGTGGCTCAGGCATCTAGTTAGGACGCCTCCTGGACGCCTCCCTGGTGCGGTTTTCCGGGCACGTCCAACCAGGAGAAGACCTAAAGGAAGACCCAGGACATGCTGGAGGGACTACAGGCAGTTTCCCTTCAGGGCCAGATAGGACCGGGCTGGGTGGCGTTGGTCAGCGCTTAGAGATTTTTAAATGTAAAGCACAGTACAAATGAAATGTATTATTATTATTATTATTATTATTAATGGCAGCATCTATTTGAGCCTGCCAAACAGTTGGCAGTGGGTGTGTTGCCCCGGACAAACCCTGAGCGGACCACTAGAGGATAAGGGCCGAAAACCCGTCCGATAGGATAGGGAAAGTACCAGGCCACCCAGGTATGAAAACAATATAAGCAATGCGGCCGGGCTGAACGGTATCAGACGTGATTCCCTATATGTCGTTCAGCTGGCCAGGGAATGCCTTTCCCTGGAGGAGGTGGCCATAGTGGCTGGGGAGCAGTGTTGTTTCTGCTAACGATGATGAATTGATTTAGTTTACGCCCCTTTTTTATGACGAAAACGAGATGCTGGCAAGCTAAAAATTGCTTTTTTTTTAACTAAAAGATGATGAGACGTGCGGGAGTTTTCCTAACAAGCTGAGACTAAACAAAAACTAGGCCACTTTTACTAGGAAACTCTGCTGTTATGCATTTTAAAATGAAACATCCACAATAAGCATTTCAAGTAGTATTTTTTGGACAGCATTTTATATGAATTAGAAACAAAAGTTTAATCTGCAATTTGCTCTTTAACTCATTCACTGCCAATGACGATTAAAGACGTCATTTGCATTTTTTTACTGTGTGGACGTCGGAATGAGCTCCCGCACCGTGAGAACAAACATCTCAGCTCTAAAGCCGATCGTCAACCGCATACATCACACGTCACGTGACCAGGAAGCAGAAAATCCATGTGCTAAGAGATCATTTTGGGCCACTGCTGCAGAAAAAGTGAGGCGCGAACCGAAAATGCTTCTGCCGATCACAATTCAACAACGGGATTATGAAAGAACGAATAACGCTTGAAACTCGCTGATTCTTCCTGATGTAAGAGGTGAGTCTCCGCTTTGTTTTGGACGTTCTGTAACTCTTAAAGAAAAACAGTAAAAAGGGTGAGAAACGCCGGCAGCAAAGGGCTTTACCGATCAGGAAACGGCTGGTAGCGAATGAGTTAAGTGTCTTGCCCAAGGACACAACAGAAGAGTTCTCTGTCCGGAGCTGGGATCGAGCCTGCAACCTTTCAATTACTGGACAACCCCTTTAACCTGTTGAGCTACTGCTGCCCCAACAATCATATAGTATAATAATAATAATAATAATAATAATAATAATAACAATAATAATAATAATAATAGCAATGAACATTGTTATAAGTCGTGTTCAAAGTAAATCTATATTATTTTTTGCATTTAAGCATGTAGGTTTAGTGGAACCAGTTGACATAACATTTCATTTCTTAGAGTGGACGGCCTCTTTATCTTTCTCTGAGTGTCACACAGAGTCGGGATCAACAAAAGGACAGAAAGGACTTCTCAGGGACACCAGGAGATTAAAAATGTATTCGAAAACACCTTCAATGGTGAAACCTTTTAGTGATGTTCCAGCACTCCATCCAAAAGTATTACATTAGAAATGATGTTTATACATTTTAAAACATATTTCTTAACTTTAAATTTGTAGAATAAGTTAATCAAAAGTGAGATAGATCCCATTGAACAGCCCGTGTGAAGGTGTAATAGCTTGCCAGCGTTTCTCTGAAACTTTTATTGGCAATAAAAGTGAAGCTGTTTAAAGGTGTAATACAGTTTAGACGCAGAGCAGCACTGCTGCTCACTGGAGACCAGAGCCGAGCAAAGTTTGGTGACATTGTGCTTTTTCTATTGATTCTCCTAATACAGTGCAACCTAGAGAGACGCAGCAGCCACCAAGCTGATAAACGACTTCACTGATCAAAGACTTTTGTCGCAGTGTTAGGGGAACAGTCAACGCTTCTGGATGAAGCAATTCTTGATTCTCTTGCTAAATCATCGTATGTGTAATGGAATGCAATTTGACAGTTTTTTTCCCCATCTTTGCTCAAGACTAGTCTGCATGAGATGGTCTCAAGGTCTCATGCATTCCTTCTAACCTGCTTATTTTCAGCTCAACAGAAGAATGAAGAATGAACTCTTTTCTTTTGATTAATCAAAGAACTCTATTTTAAAAAAAGCTAATCCATCAAAGTGTTAGTCAATAAATAAGATGTGACCGACCTGTGAAATCAAAATATTAATTACTTTATTATGATCCTATAGAATATAATAAGTAATATGACTTTAAGTGTTCCAACAGGACTCATTTTACATAGCGTTAAAAGACATGACACATTACTTTCACTGATCCAATCAGAATCTTACAGATCTGACGGAGGCGTGGTTTTGATGGTGTTTGGTAATTTTTCATTTGACAATAAACCAAAACATCTGAAGTATAAAACTATGCCACGTCAACTCTAACGCCAGTTCAAAGCGTTCCAGAGAAAGTGACGGAGTGGCCAATCCTGAACTATCCTCTTCAACAAAAAAGAACAACGACAAGCTGGAAAATTTGTTGCTATTCCAATAGCAACAACAGTTCCTTTCAGAATAAAAGCTGAACCATCCAGACCCAGGCTTGGATCTCACCAGACGCCAACAACCTGTCGTGTACCCGGAAGTAACTCAAAGACTGGACTGGTCGGAACCGCTGCTTTTCCTACCGGCTCGGTTCCAGAGAGGGTCAAGCTAAGACCTTGACATTCCGGATCTAAAGGGGACTTCCACGAAGGGTAGGTAGACTGACATGATGGTGTCTCATGTGTTTCTGAACCTCCTAACCAAAACAACACCTTCAGTTCCCGTCAGAACCAATCGCTTCTTCGGATTTGCTGGTTCTGATTTAACATCACACGTCATCCATTCACCGTCTCATCCACTTTAGTTACACCATACATTTAGTTTTAAAGTCAGTCTAGTTTAATTTGTTAGTAATAAAATTCTTAACTTTTAAACTTGACTCTCTCTCTTCTGTTGTCTCTGAGTGAATACGGAGCGGTTTTCTAATCCCTGCAATAAAAAGATCCAATTTTCTGGTTTAAATAACCACACAGATCCGTAAGGTGGATTCCATATTTCCTATGGAATCCCACGCCTTATAGCTCATTAAATAACTGTAATCTAATTCATTACATATGTGTAAAAGTGATTCTCAGCCAAACAGCTTGCCAAGATGTTTATTCATGTAGAAAATGTGATTAAAGCAGGTAACGTCTCTGTGAGCTGTTACCTGTCTCCGTGCTTCAGAGCCAGATAGAGCATTATCACCAGACAGTACTGAGTGGACCTCGGCTCCTGATAATCGCATAACAAAGAGCCCCAGTCTGACAGATGATAACACATGGAGGGAAGGTTGCAGTGCAGAAGATTCTCCACCTCCTCACAATCTGGGGATGAGCAAGCAAAAACATAAAAATTAAATAAAAGGCAGAGAGAAGTCTGAGTAGTAACACTTGTGACAAAGTACTACAATATTTATGAATACAAGGAAGCAAGAAGATTGGAATTAAAGAGCATATTTGTTCACTAATTTTATTTTACGATCAAAGCAAAAAATGCAAAAGAGACAGAAAAATACATTGAGGGAGAAAGGGGGAAGGAGAAAAAAGCATGAAAACGAAGTTAAAAATGCATCACAAAATAGAAGAGAAATAAAAATGAGGAAAAAACTGGCATTGCAGTTCTTTCACCCCTGCGATTTATATTGTTATGCAGTAATTTATAACAGATGACTTGAATAACACTCTAGATTACACTTCATGCTTGAATGCTGAATACAGGGTATCTGCTGGTTTATGGGAGCCAAATGTAAGACTTTTTAACACTTTTTAAGGCCACTTTGACCAAATTCAAGCAACTTTTAAAAATAGCTTTTAATAAGCTATAATATCCTAGCCTGGCAAGCCAGACTATATAAATGTATTATTTAGTCTGGCCACGCTCCATTGACGGCTCTCGGTTGTGGGGCGGGTTCTACCGTTGTCTTTCAAATGATCTCTGCATTCCACTGGACAATGGATGTGACATACTCTTGTTTCACTCTGTTGCATCATCCCACCCACCAGGCATATAGAGGGCCCTGATTGGCCCACAAAGCGGATAAAGCTCTGTGATTTGTTCACTAAGCAGATAGAGCACTATGATTATGGACCAATCACAGCTCTATGTGTTTGAAACCCCTCTAGAGAGCTGTGATTGGCTAGCCAGAGTCCTGGTAGGAGCTGCTGAGGTTCCAATGGAGCATGCCTAGACATTCTTTGCAAAGCAAGAATTTGGTCTAGTTCACTAGGCTAATAATTTCCAGTTATTGCCTGGAACCGGTGCTAACCACGTCGCGAACGTGGGATTAACCACCAAGTTACCATTAAACTTGCACTTCCCCATGGCGCAAGCTCCCACAAGCTTAACCAGCTACTGTGCTCATCTAAAAACAGCCCCCTTTCACAACCAACTGAATGTGTACGGTTCTGCTTATGCCAATATCTTACACAAAAAATGCTGAACACCAACTAGAAATTCACGAAATTTTTATAGAAATAAAAGAATCCTGTTTATTAAGACCTTTGTAAACTGTATTTAAAGGGACTTTACGGAGTTTTGAATTTTTATGCTCACGATTGCCCCCTCAGGCCACAAGCGTAACGGCAGCTTCAATAGTAGGCTCGTGCACGAGGCGCGCATGCTGTACGTGCACACTCCTTAACGAAAATAACAGCTGAGACAGTCCCTTGTGTGTGTGTGGCCCGGAGGACAGGAGAACGTGCAGCTAATTAATTAAATAATTTGGTTCTGTACCTTTCTCTTCAGCACAGGCGACAAAGGTTTATGATGGGTCAGTCCTCCTGCATGCTCAGATCATTCCCTTCCCTTGCTTGAAAAATTGTTCCAAAATGAAAGTTGAACCCACATCTTTTTTATCTGTGAATTCAATGCCGTTCGGCGAGTCTCAAATAAAAATTTGGGCATCTTACAGTAAAAAAAATACCATTAATGTAAAAAATAAACTCTAAATAAACTATGTCCACATCCAGAATCGAACCCAGGTCTTCTGCATGAGAGTCCGACGGTTTACTAGACGAGCTAAAGCACCAGTGACGTCCTTTGTATCTGTAACATTTATATGCTTCATGACAGCTGAAACAACGTTCAAAGAACGGTTCGGAGGGCTATGCCTGAGCGTGAACGCGCATGAAGCAGCCTGCTCGACCCGAGCATCTCTCTTTTTCTGTGATTTTACAGAAAAACAGGCAATCACAGTAAAAATGCCAGGGCTCATTCTACAGGACCAGGGCATTGCAGGAGAATGTATGAAGAAGAAATTTATTATTTCTATACATGTTTTGGCCGTCAAACTTCCATAATGTCCCTTTAAGGATTATTTGTCATTTTTAAGGATTTTTAAGGCCTTAAATTTGGAAAAGCTAATTTAAGACTTTTTAAGGACCCACGGATACCCTGTGAATGCTAGTCAAGCTCAAGAAGACTATTTCAATTTTTACAGGTCATTTACTTCTAAAAATACAAACACTTTTTAACTCATTTGACATTTTGACAGATGCCTGGCTTGTTTCTTATCTACTTCCTGATTTAATGAAAATCACTTAAAAATCTAGCTCTGCCAGAGTCCTGACTCATTCTGGGCTTAACCTTATTCAGTTTTCATTTCATTACATTCAGGACTTGTTTCATTCAATTCAATTAAATTAATTCAGTTCAATTCAATTCAAAAATACTTTATTAATCCCAGAGGGAAATTGATTGTGTTGTCCATTCTTGTTGCCAGTATAGCAGCAGAATGAGATTTACTAGAATATAGATAGTATAGATCTCCAGCAGACAGACAGAACTTCAGGACGATGGGCAACAATCACAGCCAACAGTGTTTTTATAAAATCTCAGGAAACAAACACAAAGCTGTTTACTGAGCGTTAAAGTCTGAAAGAAATTTACACAAATACAATGACTGGGGACTTGTTGAAATGACACGAGAACAATACATGTATCGTTGGCTGTGTCACCCACAAACTGAACAATAAAGTAATAAAACTCATTCCACTTGTGTGGAAGAACAGGCCAGAATCACTCCTGATCAATGCAGACAACATCTCTTCATACAGGAGGCATCTAGAAGCTGTAATCACCCCTATAAGCTTTTCTACAAACTATTAAAGTGGCTCAATGTTTATTAACTGTGTCATTTCACTTTATTTACTATGACTCAACTTGTTTACTTTAACCCTTTAGGCCCTAGGCCTTTTTCTTTCGGCCCTGGCGCCTCCCAATTGGGAGCCTTTGGAGTTTCATGTCCCAAGTGTCAGTGATGGTTTGCATTCCCCGAGCACAGCTACAGCTACAATCACAACAGTTTAGGTTGTAAACAAAGCAATTTTTGGTTTTTGATACATTAAGATAAAATAATAGTTGAACTTTATTTTAGAAGAGCTGCCCTGTGTGAAAGTGCTGACAGGATGGAGGTTGTGAGTTCAAATTCCATTTAGGAAATTTAGTCAACTGTTTTATTTATTCCAGGGGTCCTCAACTACATTTGTTCAAGGTTTTTTTTTCAACGGACACCAGAGAAGGTCAGCTGCTCTTCTAAAATAAAGTTCAAACATCATTGTATCTTAACTTATCATAATTTCAAATGGCCTTGTTTCCCATCTGGGCTGTTTGATTGTGGTTTTAGTTGTGTTTGGAGAACGTGGACAGTTGTAGATGTAGAGGCCCCCAATTGGGGGGCGTTAGGGTTAAACGGGCTAATGTCCTGATTCTTTTGCATGAATTCAATGTTTGGCTTGATGGCAACATCTGGTTGAAACTTTGTGTCAGTGGCCCACTTCCAAATGCCCTTATATATATTGGTATAACTTTCTTACAGTAAAAAACAAAACACAACTCTCTCGCATTGTTAAATTAGGCAGCAAAATTACAGGTTCACCTCAGATCCCACTTTCTGTTCTTCACAAGCGAGCAGTGCACAGGAAGGCTAACCTGATCAGTGCAGACTCATCCCATCCATTGAACCCACATTTTCTGTTACTTCCATCCGGAAGGAGGTACAGAGTTCCATTGGCCAAGAAAGGTGTCTATAAGAAATCATTTGTTCCCACCGCAATTACAATTTTGACTTCTTAAAGTTTTATTTTTTTTACGATGATAACATTTTAATACCTTTCAATTGTCTTTTATATAGTTGTGTGAATGGGATATGGATTGTATTGTAAGGTGAGCCATGTCAAAGGCAAATTTCTGCCTCAATTCGAGGTGGACAATAAAGTTTATCTATCCATCTTGATAAAAATGCTGATGTGTCAAAGACTTATTCTGCCTGCTGCAACTACTTTGGCACAACTGATTACAGATCCATGTAAAAGGTTTCCTAAACTGAGGCAAAAGCTTATTTCCCCACCTGAGTCCTGGTGGACTCCCTCATCTTCTCTTGTGCATTTCTTATTTTCCATGTTGTTACCAGCAACCCACTCCATGTGTGGGGGTGTGGTCTGCGTCAGCTAACAGATTAAAAACTATTGTGATTGGTGAACCATGGCGTGCAGCGTGTGTCAGGTACCCCTAAAATTAGATGAGGACACTTTGAGAGCATTTGCCTCCTACACTGCAGCAGAACAATGTCCCTGTTTCCCAAATACGTCCCGATGTTGACGCTCAATTTATCGCCCAGATCTAATAAACGTGCCAAAGCCTGACTTTTATCAATCGAACAAAGACTGGAGATGAAAAAACAAAAATGAGAAGAATTCTGCTGTTGAAACATAAGACACCTCTATGGTCACTTTAAAAGAAAACTAGTTATGAGTAGGAACTAAATCTATACTGAAAAACGATTAAAAAAATTATAACATTAATCATGTCATCACAAAAATAATGTCAGCAAAAACAGGAGACTGAAAATAAAACAAATCTGTGTTATAAGCAAAGATGAATGTGACAGCTGGAAGAAGCAAACAGAAGTCTAGGTTCACTACATTTATCACACACACACACACGCACGCACGCACACACACACACACACACACACACACACACACACACACACACACACACACACACACACACACACACACACACACACACACACACTTGCTACAAATCTCACTACTTCAAATATTTCACCCAGTACTCCAACACATCTCCTGGGAGTCTCCACTGAGATGTTTTGTGTTTTATTTCAGGATTTGTGATGCCAGTGTAGAAAAAGCAGCAACAGAAATGCTGCTCATCTTTAGCATTTCTGAGTCCTATAATTTGCTTCAGCACAGCAAAACAAACATAACAGGCCTTCAACTGGATTTACTTCCTGTGCTGTCTCAAAGTACAATGGCAGTGAAGCGTTTCTGCTTCAAATATAAGTTCAGTGGCATTTTTGTCCATCCAAAAGACAAAACACCCAAGCAGAAGCTCAGTGGCGTCGTTTATGCAGTCCAGTGTAGTGAGGACTGTGCTGGGGTCTCATTCATCAAACATTGCGTAGAATCCTTACTAAAACCGTACTTAAGCTCAGCAACAAAAAAAAAAAAAGTACTTACGCCAAGCAGGTTTGTGATCTATCAAACATGGAGTACGCACAGCTGCACGCAATCTCTGCTTCATAAATCGAAGACTAACAGGAATGTTTCTCAGCTGCGTTTTAGTCACATCCCGCCCTCACCATGCCCACTTACTGCCATAAATGGTCAATGCAAAGTGCCTTGTGGACCTCATGCATGTACATAAGCCGGCTGTTGCAGCGCTCCGCCAATGACATGGCGACCGTAGATCAAGGCAGATCAAGGAAGCGCAATTTCACAGAAGCAGAAACTGAGGTACCTGTGGGTGAGGTGGAGAAATGAAAGGAAGTGCTTTTGCAAAACAAATAAGAGAAAATCCACAGAGTGGCACAGCGTTGCTGAAGCCGTCAATGTTGTAAGTTCTTCAGAGAGATCTGTGGTGGATATAAAAAAATGGTCCAATCGGGATTCGATACCCAGACTCCTGGGTGAAAGTCACGCGCGCTAACCAAATGGAGATCTCCCCTGTACAAGTAGGCAGGGCGCATGATCAATCTGGTCACAGTGACAGGACACACACTGTCACAGACGCATGATGTTCTGTCTCAATCTGTCCCCCTGTTGATATTCTGCATTCCGTATTCTGCGCTTTAGGCTGTGTGTGTGTGAGTGCGCGCGCATGTGTGTGTGTGCATGTGGGGGGTCTTGTTCTGTGTGAAAACGAAGCGGTACAAGTGATAATGCTGCAGGATTTCATAATTGTATCCTTCTCAGCAGCAGCACTGCAGGTGCTCTCCATGTCCAACATGTGCGTAAGCCAGGTCCTTAGTCAACTTAAAGTTGCGCACATTTTTCCGCTAAGTTTTCTTTCATAAATCCCAAAGTTTGCGTGGAAAATTGCTTACGCAGTTTTCCGACCCCGTTTTGTGCGTAAGCAAGCTTGATAAATGAGGCCCCAGATTTTTACATCGGGGAAACTAAACAATTACACAACATAGTAGAGCCAACTATCCAGGTCAAGACTCTGCAGTCCACCTACACCTGAAGGACAGGGGACATGCTTTTGGAGATGACAAAGTCCACATTCTGGACAGAGAAGATAGATGGTTTGAGAGAGGAGGAAAAGAAGCTATCTATGTCAAACGTGGAAAACCCACTTTAAATAGGGGAGGGGCTTAGATTTCACCTTTCCAGTACCCATAAAGCAGTTTCAGTCTAGGTCACACCTTCCTGCATCTAATCAGCACAGCTCCCTCACAATCTAGGATAACGACTCATCAGGGGATGGAGAGGCGGGGTATCCAGAGTAGTTTTGGCTCGGTAAATAACAACAGACAGCTCCAGCTTATAAGCTTGACTCTCCCATGTTCTACTTAGAACTGACAAAGCTCCTCAGATGAGAAGCAAAAGTTCTTCAAGAAACCAAAGAAGCCCAGTTGTCTTCATTTGAACCCTTTGAATTACCATGACATGGAGGACTGAGATCCTTCACCAGCAGTGGCATTTTATGAATTAGACATGTTTGGAACACAGAACTGTGAGTCATTTCCTCTCACCACCTACAGGAGCTCTTCTTAGGGGCCTTGCAAACGCATCATCAGCAGGGAATTTGTGACAATTCCATTTATTTATTTAAATTTAGAAAACTATGCTGATTTGGTTTGGTTACACCACACCAATAAAATGTGTCTTCTGTAGTTTAATCTGACACAAAGTCAACAGGAGCAACAATGGTGTCTGCATTTAGCTGTGGGTAAAGGAACAGCATACCGTTGTATGGGTCCGAAGGGAGGTCTGATTCAGAGAGCAGACACACACTCAGTTTCTGCAGAAAACCACAGAAAGATGCATTCAGAATTGGGTTCCTGAAAAAATGAGAAGAGGGAGAAATGTTCACAAGAGGCCTCCGCAAATAGCAACAAATACGTGTAGATAACAGATGAAAGAGTGGAAAAATTCGACAGAAAGTGAAAAGAGATGAAAGTTAAGAGAAAACATGCTGAGCGGTCGATACAGAGAGAGGAGTGAACTGTGAGACAGGACAGGATGTGCTTTGAGTCACTTCTTTCATATATGAAACTCAGACACAGGAAAGTTCAGTTACATTACAGCTCAGAGCGGGGGGTCGAAAATGTACGTCAACCACCCCACACACACACACATCAAATTTAGCACGCTTGCATACACAAAACTTCAGACTGTGGATCTGCAGATCACCACACAGACTGACACCTAGCTGCTTACAAAAACAGAGTAACTGGTAAATATCAGACACACTGGACGTGTTAATCTGTCTTATTGGTTAAATGTCCTTGCTGACAAAGACACACGCAGACACTTGTTCTGACTGCTGCAACAGTTAGTTTATGGTCTCTCTGTGTTTGTGTCTCTTGTTACGTACCTGTTTCCTGCACAAAGGAGGGCTTTATGATTCACAGTCAGCTTAAAGAAACCAGAGGACGCTAAAGAGGCCAGAAAAAGAGCATTTAGGAAACAACTACCATACCTAAACCTTTGTCCAACAACTACTGATATTACTTGTCATGTTAAGTTTCTAAATAAAAACATTGCCCCTTTCCCCATCTTTATATTTTTCTTTCAAAAAGAGAAATTCTTACTTTTACCTGTAGTTGTCCTGAACAGACATTTACCAGGTAAACAGAAATACTTTAAATATGTTCTTTGATTATTGACTGTTTTTCACTCAGAACCACCCTTTTCAGATGATTAGTGAGTGAATGCTGAGTCTAACAGCCAGACGCACATATCCCACCACTGCAACTGTTGGTAACAAGGTGAACTCATGAAATAGTCAAAAATTTGTCATTTTTTCTTTTTGAATCACACTCAAGGTAAGTTTAGCCAGTGTGAAAACTGTAAACCCATGTTTTACATGTGATGTAACATTTTAGAGGAACAAATCTATTGTTTCAGTCATTTGAAAAAACGAGAGTGAAACCACAGTAGAGATAACTGGGCAATAGTCCCACGTGGAAGTAAAAACTATAAATCCAGGGTATCTGCAGGTTTAAGGGAGTCAATTTTAAGACTTTTTAACACATTTTAAGGCCACTTTGACAAAAATTTAAGCTATTTTTAAAATTAAATTTCAAACTATAATTTCCAGCTATTGCCTGGAACCGGTGCTAACCACGTCGCGATCGAGGGATTAGCCATCCAGTTACCATTAAACTTGCACTTCCCCATGGCGCAAGCTCCCACTAGCTTAACCAGCTAATGTGCTCATCTAAAAATAGCCCCCTTTCACAACCAACTGAATGTGTATGGTTCCGCTTTTGCCAACATCATTCACAAAAATTTTATTGAAATAAAATAATCTTGTTTATTGGGTCTTTGGTAATTTAAGACCTTTAGAAACTGTATTTAATGGATTATTTGTCATTTTTAAGGAGTTTTAGGGTCTTACATTTGGATAAGCTAATTTAAGACTTTTTAAGGACCCGCGGATACCATGTAACCCTCTCAGGCTCAAAATAAGTTTTGACAATAGGACATTTACTTTGTGCTTGATTTAATAATTTAGATGTTGTTTTCTTTAAAGATGGGTCTGTTGGTGAGAAACTAAGAAATGAAACCAACACTGTTGGGGGACATGAAAACCTTGAGTTACTGGAAGCTTGTTGCCTTGGGCAACTGACCATTAAGGTAAATAAGTCATGCATCATATTTAGGCTGCAGGCAGTCGACAGAACACTAGTTTCTGCAGCGATACTGGGGGTCTACAGAAGGTTTGGATTGACCCTCAGGAGGCAGGAGTTGCAGATGTGCAACCTACCTGGTTACTCCACATACGTATTTCATGAGCATTTTTAACTCAGAAGTATTTTGAGCCTGAGAGGGTTAAACAGACTGTAGTGAATCCCCTTTTAAAGAAGCCAAGCCTTGACGTAACTTGACTATCTAATTATTGATCTATTTCCAAACTCAGTTTTTAATCAAAAGTTCTAGAGAAAGTGGTTCAATTACAGCTACAGGATTATCTGACTATGCATCACATTTCAGACAAATTTCAGTCAGGTTTTAAAGCATGGCATAGCACTGAAAGTGCACTTTTACGGGTGGTTAAAGATTTATTAATGATCAGTTATTCTGGCAACTCAGCTGTTTTAATGCTGCTAGACTTATCTGCTGCTTTTGACACCATTGATCATGATACTCTGTTGTCTCGACTGGAGTCTTGTGTGGTATAAGGGGCGCAGTGCATGATCCTTCTCTGTGAACTTAGGAAATTTTACATCACCACCGGCACCTATGACTTGTGGTGTTCCACAAGGTTCCATAATAGGGCCAACTCTTTTTTCACTGTATATTTTACCATTGTCTTCTATCTTTGCCAGACACATTACTTTTCATTGCTGTGCTGATGACCTACAGATATATGGTAAATGGCCTGTATTTGATATAGCGCCTTCTAGAGTCCTGGAACCCCCCAAGGTGCTTTACAACACCACCAGTCATTCACCCATTCACACACTGGTGGGGATGAGCTACGATGTAACCACAGCTGCCCTGGGGCGCACTGACAGAGGCGAGGCTGCCGAAAACAGGCGCCACCGGTCCCTCCGACCACCACCAGCAGGCAACGTGGGTTAAGTGTCTTGCCCAAGGACACAATAACAGCGACAGACTGAGCGGGGCTCGAACCTGCAACCTTCCGATTACGGGGCGAGCACTTAACTCCTGTGCCACTCACCCCAAATTCAGCTGTTTCCTTAGCAGATGTGAAGCAATGGATGTCAATTCATTTTATGAAATTGACTGACCTGAAGACAGAGATTGTAGTTTTTGGCAGTGGAGACCTGCTAAGGGGTGCTATGAGCACACTTGGTTCCTTTTCAGACTTTGTAAAGCCTCATGTAAAAAACTATTTTGTTTTTATTTATGGAAGGTACGTTTAAATTGGACAGACAGATAAGTGCAGTGGTCCAGTCTGGCTTTTATCAATTGAGGCAACTTGCAAAGGTTAAGCATTATCTGCCGGTAATGGTCTTTCAACACGTTTGTCATCTATTTGTCTCCTGGACTACTGCAACTCCCTTTATTATGGCTTAGAGCATTCCTCCCTAAACCGCTTGCAACTGGTTCAAAATGCAGCAGCCCACATTTTAACAGGAACAAGGAAGCGCGATCATTTCACTCCAGTGCTTGCTTCCCTTCACTCCAGTGCTTGCTTCCCTTCACTGACACAGGAGACGGGGCATTTTCTGTGGCTGGCCCTATGCTCTGGAACAGCCTTCCTCTGCAGATTAGGACCTCTCAGTTTGGATGCTTTTAAGTCATAGCTTAAAACTCATTTCTTCAACCTGGCTTTAATGTAGAATGATTTTCTGTTTTATTCTCTTATTTTATCGACTTTTATGAATTGTGTGATGTAATGCTGTTCTTTATTTGAACTTGCTGCTTATTGATGGTTTAATGTTTTTAGTTATTTTATTGTCTTGCTATGTTCATCTTGTGTGTTTTATGTACTGTCACGAACAGAACTCAGAAGACCCGTGAAGACGCCAAACACAAAAAAAGTATATCAAAAAACGTCTTTATTTTGATGCAGAGTTACCAAAGTTAGGTGAGGCTGGAGACAGAGTCGGAGACAGGCGCAGGTCGAAATGGCAGGCAGAATACAAGGCAGCGGTCAGGCGAAGAACGAGGTCCGGAGGCAGAGATCAGGCAGGGTGGATGGCTGGAGAATTTACTGGCAAATGTTTTCAATAATCTGGCAGAGACTGGGTAGCTGAATGGATCTTTTATAGCAGGGGAAGCAGGTGTGTGAGATGAGCTGAGGAGTCAGAAGCAGGAGAAGTGGATGAAGCTGATTGTGGTAGTCAGGGAAACAGAGCTTGGCTGGGGCTTGATGATGAGACCAGGTGTGCTGCATGAAGGCAGAGGAGGGTGAAGGATTGGGAGTCATGACAGACCCCCCCCCCCCCTCACCCCCCCAAGGGCGGATACCAGACGCCCACAGGAAACCAGAGCAGGGTGGGAGGAGGGGGACCAGGAAGAAGGGCCAGAGGAGTCTGGGGGGCTGGCGACGGGGGACCAGGAGCCGGGACTGCGGGAGTCTGGGGGGCAGGCGAAGGGGAACCAGGAGCCAGGACTGCGGGAGTCTGGGGGGCAGGCGAAGGGGAACCAGGAGCCAGGACTGCGGGAGTCTGGGGGGCCGGCGACGGGGAACCAGGAGCCGGGACTGCAGGAGTCTGGGGACGGGGAACCAGGAGCCGGGACTGTGGAAGTCGGGGGATAGAGGACACTGGAGGACGAGGACTAAGAGGGGACTCCGGGCTAAGACACTGAGGGGACACTAGAGGACGAGGACTAAGAGGGGACTCTGGGCTAAGACACTGAGGGGACACTAGAGGACGAGGACTAAGAGGGGACACTAGAGGACGAGGACTAAGAGGGGACACTAGAGGAGGAGAACCAGGAGCCAGGACTGTGGGAGTCTGGGGGGCCGGCGACGGGGAACCAGGAGCCCGGACTGCGGGAGTCTGGGGGGCCGGCGACGGGGAACCAGGAGCCGGGACTGCGGAAGTCGGGGGATAGAGGACACTGGAGGACGAGGACTAAGAGGGGACTCTGGGCTAAGACACTGAGGGGACACTAGAGGACGAGGACTAAGAGGGGACACTAGAGGAGGACGACTAAGAGGGGACACTAGAGGAGGACGACTAAGAGGAGACACTAGAGGAGGACGACTAAGAGGAGACACTAGAGGAGGACGACTAAGAGGGGACACTAGAGGAGGACGACTAAGAGGGGACACTAGAGGAGGATGACTAAGAGGGGACACTAGAGGAGGACGACTAAGAGGGGACTCTAGAGACTGAGGGGACAGAGGGAACTCTGGGACTGGTGGGGACGTAGACTCTGGGACTGGTGGGGACGTAGTCTCTGGGACTGGTGGGGACGGGAACTCTGGAGACAGGATCTCTGGAGACAGGGACGTAGACTCGGGGAACTCTGGGGACGTAGACACTTGTGGGGACTCTTGAGACAGGAACACTGGGGACGTAGACACTTGTGGGGACTCTTGAGACAGGAACACTTGAGACTGGAACACTGGGGACATAGACAGTTGTGGGGACTCTTGAGACTGGAACACTGGGGACGTAGACCCTTGACTGGAGGGGGAGACATCGACTTCAGAGCCGGAGACTGAGGCGTCGACTTCAGAGCTGGAGACTGATGCGTCGACTTCAAGACAGGAGATGTCGACTTCGAGACAGGAGACGTCAATTTCTGTCGACTTCGAGGCAGGAGGCATCGATCCTTGGACTGGAGGCGTCAACCCTTGGACTGGAGGCGTCGACCCTTGGACTGGAGGCGTCAACCCTTGGACTGGAGGCGTCGACCCTTGGACTGGAGGCACTGGACTGGGCTGAGCCTCTTGGATGGGCGGAACCGGAGCCTCTTGGACAGGCTGGACCGGATGCGGTGCGTCCTCCGGGACCACCGCCGAAGCAGAATGCGATGCGTCCTCCGGGACCACCGCCGAGGTAGGATGCGATGCGTCCTCCGGGACCACCGCCGAGGCAAGATGCGATGCGTCCTCCGGGACCACCGCCGAGGCAGGATGCGATGCGTCCTCCGGGACCACCACCGAAGCAGGATGCGATGTGTCCTCCGGGACCACCGCCAGGACAGGATGCGATGCGTCCTCCGGGACCACCGCCAGAGCAGGATGAGATGCGACCTCCAGGACCACCGCCGAAGCAGGATGCGATGCGTCCTCCAGCACCACTGCCGAAGCAGGATGCGATGCGTCCTCCGGCACCACCGCCGAAGCAGGATGCGATGCGTCCTCCGGCACCACCGCCGAAGCAGGATGCGATGCGTCCTCCGGGACCACCGCCGAAGCAGGATGCGATGCATCCTCCGGGACCACCGCTGAAGCAGCATGTGATGCGTTGGAGGGTTCTGGGGAAGGTGACCACCTCTCACAGCAGGTCAGACCCTCTGCGGTGACATCCTTAAGTGCGGACCCATATACACTCCGAACATAAAGGTAGTAATTACCAAGGGCTGGAACTGCTATCAATTCTGGATGGGTGGAGAAGATGGCATTCAACCTTTCAGCCGCCAACAGACGTAAGTGGGGGCAGGTTGGCTTGGCAAAGACCTCCCACATAGCTTCCTCGACCATCTGCATCATCTTCTGAACAATCTCCTCCGTTGAGACCGGTCCAGAAGCAGAACATGAAGTGTTGTCCGACGAACCCGCCGATACCAGCACGGGAGAAGGATCAACCTTCTTATCAGCTCCAGAAAACCTCCGGGACCGCCGCCGTCGTGACCTGACAGGAGGGGTTTGAGGCTGGAGCGGCGTAATGATAGGAGGGGTCCGGCACTGTTGCGTGGTCATGAACCCACTGCACAAGACGGTTGCAGCAGTGTACCTATGATTTAAATTACTGACCTCTGTCATCATTTTAAGTGGGAGAACTTGCACAATCGGTGGCTGACTAAATACTTTTTTGCCCCAATGTATAAATGATAATCTCACTGTCGCTCCTTGGATAATTTTTTAAACTCACCAAGTTTTTTGGCGAAATCAGGCATGAGAGATGGAAGAAGCGTGAACTGGAAGCAAAGAGTGGAGTAGAAGTACTGCAGTACCTGGGCACTGGGTACACCCTCACACGCCCTCTGGAAACAACACATATGTTTTATTAATCAAACACAGCAAACCTTCTTCTGCATAACTGATTTTTTTCTCCTAAAGAAGAACCAACAGATGTATAACGTTAAATAATTACTAGCCTGACAACAAAAAGACACTGACTGATTACCAGGCATGTTCATGTGTCTGAAAGACAAATGGAGACAGATGCTGTGTGTCTCTGTTTATTAATACAGTCATTAAGAGGAACCACCAGACACTGAAACACAATTACTTTGACCTTATTTCTAAGAAACAAGACACCAGCAGCTAATTATTTCCTCATGTGTTTGGGTATACAATCATGGTAAAATTATGCATCATCTATCTTCTGTTCTATGCATGAGGATATTAATAACTGAACTCCGTTAATTCATAAAGTGCAAGTTCAAGACATAAGTCATCTCAAAGACAACAAATCAGATTGTATCAGGTGCAGATTCATGCTAACTGATTGCAGTAAACCCAGTTAAGTTGTAATAAAATGAGCCAAATTTGCCCTAAATAACGGACCCAGCAGCACTTCAATACAATCCCCCATTCTGAGCTCTATGGTCCTGTCTGGGGGCTCTAAAGACAAATGTGTTATTTTTTAATGAAACACCTTTTAGAACATTTATTTATAATTACAAAATGCTAACTGTCATCCGATGTTGAACATCTGTGTTTAGGACAAGCTGGTTGGGTAAGATCTGACAGGTTTTAAGCCTGGGTCATGCTTCTCCGTCTGCGTCAGTGCGGAGACACGCAACGCCATTATCCGTCCTTGCGGAGGGCCCCGGCAGGCACGCAAGTACGTACGGAGTCGAGCCCACTTTTTTAAACATCCGTCTGTCGAGACGGAGAACGCAAGCTTGTGATTGGTCAGGGCACCCCTGTCGTCTACACCGCCACCATTGCGCCCTCAAAAACATAAAGAGAGCCGAGGATAACTAGCAGCAGACACAGAGAAGCTTGAAGAATACCTCGCGAAAAAACTCTGAAATATGAACGTTTAATTTCCCCGTGACTGGAGGAGTGAAAAGATGCACAGCAAGCGTTTTATTTGTGGACGGAAATGACAGGAAACGTGGGTTTAGAGGTGGGGAGCGCATGAAGAGGTGGAGGAGGATGAGAGACAAATTTGTCTGTGTTAAAAAGTCTCTTATATACAAAAAACACAATATAAACACACCATATTGGACTGGATACATGACAGGATACCACAAAACAGCACTACGCCATCAGCTGTCCTGGCGGGGAATTGCTTTGCAACACCCCCAGAGATGGAGAAGTATGAGAGCAAAACGCTTCCGTCAATCCGTGTCTGTCTGTCCCTTGCGGAGCTGACGGAGAAGCATGAATCAGGGTTTAGCCCTAGCCTAGCCTTTATTGGGCCAATAAAGAAATGTTAATCCTGTGTTTTATAAAGCAGAACTTGCTTTGGTTTAGCATCAGTTATTACACAGAGCGCCTCACATTCAACTCTAGATTACTACTGGGACATGTGCCCTGGTGCCCAGGTCATGTGGCTGCAGAACAAGCTCACATCATCAGCCCTCCACCACCGTGCTGACAGCTGGTAAAAGGTGATTTTCATCATTTCCTGTCACAGCCTTGTGTTTTACGACATTTGAACTTTTATCTCATCTATTAAAAAGACATTTTTCTGGAAGTCCTATAGTTTGGTCCTGACATGTAAACAAAGAGTCAGAACGGAAACATAAATGGGTTCCACATCTGACTGGAAATGTATGTGCAGCCCTCACAAGGACAGTAGGGATCCAGACGGAGTCACAGCAGCGTAGCAGACATCCACACAGAGACTCCAGTGAGTCTTCATCATCGCTGGGTTTATGTGGAGCAGTGAACGGGTTCTTCATCAGAACTGGATCTGACCCACATTCCTCAGCAAGCCTTGGGCACAAAAAGACATCATCAACAGAGATTCATACAAACAAAACAGGCATCTCATTAGCATCTTCGTTTCTGTTAACCAAGTGGAATAAAACGATTAAATCCAGTGACAATAACAAGTAGCATTTGGTTCAGTTACATTCCTCACTGAATAACATTTTTTTAAACTTCTTTTGTAATTGCTATAAAAAGCTAGTCTTAGTGAAGTTTCGTCTAGGAACGCTCCAATAGAACCCCTAGCAGCATTCTGGCGGGCCAATCACAGCTCTCTATAGGGGTTTCAAACCAATAGAGCTGTGCCCGGTCCACAATGAGGGGCCAATCACAGCGCTCTATCTGCTTTGTGGGCCAGTCAGGGCCCTCTATTCATCTGGAGTGGAACAAGATGGCGACAGCTCGTTTGAAACGGCTTTTTCATCAATTTTGGACTAAATAATATATTTATTCAGTCTGGCTTGCCATGCTAATAAAATGTTACTTCATGAAGAATAAAATTAGAAATTGTTCAGAGAATAAAGTCACAATCTTGAGTGACTCTCAGACAATGTGGGTGCTTTTATTTAACTTATTGAACATTTTCTGACCTGCAGGCTGCCTGAAAACAAACCAGAGCCTGTAGGAGATAACATTTGGACCTAAAGCTCTTGCTGTTGGAATCCATTCCTTTCAGATGACTCTGAAACATAAAACACAAACAGAACCATTATATTTTATATATATAGATATAACCTACCCAGATCTCACTGCTAATGCATTGAATCAAGATTGTTATTCTCCCATGAGTCCTGCTCTTTCTTTACATGTGAAAGAGGGTCATTTATGCTACTGGAACCCGCTGCAATCACCTGTCAGGTATGAGTCGCTTGCTCCTTCAATTGTTAAGAAAAGGTTTCTTTTTTTCCAACTGGGGTGACAAAAGACTAAGGTTAATCAATGATTCTCTTTCTTAACATTCGTTTCGATGTCTCAATATGGGATACGCCCCTCCGCGGATTCCTCAGAAGCATTTATCTCAATACGCCAATCCTGATTGGCCAGTGACCGTGACGTACGTGTCACCTGCTACTATAAGTAGCAAGCATCCCAACGCACGCACCATTCAATCACCTCTTCTCGCTTCAGTGGTTGCTTATCTCTCAGGTAAGTTAGCTCAACTGTTCACAGACGGAGCCAGCTAATATTCTCTCTCTGTCGCCGAATGTTAACTTACTGTCCATCTGTCCTGACCTTCACCATTGGCTCGGGGCACAGCGAGCAGTTTCACACTCCAGTGCACCTGTTCGTTCTCTGGCTAACACACCAGTTAGTCCACATGGAAGCCGCTCCTCCCACCAGAGGAGTTGATGGCGCGGGAGCTCGCCTCTGTACCTGTAGGAACAAAATCTCAATCAAAGACCCGCACAAGATCTGCTCGGGCTGGAACACGCCCAGCTAGCATTGGAAGTCCCCAGGTTATGTGAGAGCTGTGCTTGCTTCACCCTGAAGAGCCTTCGCTGGCGACTAGCGCGCCAAGCTAGCCTGTCAGGGAAGGACCCATGCCTGCCGGCCCCTGGGCCACCGCCGAACATGCCCTCCCGGAGCCGGAACCGTGTGCCGAACACAGCTGGGGCTCAGCTCGAACTGGCCGTTCCGAGCCACCCCGTCGAGGAAATGTTGGAGTTGGATTACGGAGACGACGAGGACACCTCGGAACTCATCATTTCAGAGGAGGACGAGGATGACAACGTTTTTCTCCCCCTCGCTCAGGCCTCCATGCCTAGTTTTCCGTCCACTCCCAGGGACTGGAGCCTGCATCCAGCAATGTTGGAACAGATTTGGATCCGGTTCGGCACAGCCGTAGTGGATCATTTTGCCTCCAAGGAGAATGCTCAGTGTCCACTGTTTTTCTCCCTGCGCGACCGAGACGCTCCACTCGGCGTGGACGCGCTGGTGCACGACGGGAACTGCTTTACGCTTCCCCCCCAGTGGCTCTGACACCACCCACCTTTCTGAGGGTACGAACTCGGCGCCACACTCTCATTCTGGTGGCCCCATATACAGTAGGGCTGTCGCGGTTGAAGAATTCCCCCTGCGGTGATTCAGGGTGGCTTAATAATGCGGTGTGTGATATTATTGCAGCACTTTTTTTTTTTATTGCAGTACTATCTAAACATAATGTTTACAGATTTAAAAAAGGTTAAAAATTGCCGTGCCTTCTTTTATAACACTTTACTGAATGCAGATCAAAGGGCAGTAACAACACAGATCGCAGTAACGTTTGTTTCTCCGACAGTCGGAGTCCGACTGAACTTAAAAACAACAAAAATCAGGAGAAGGTTAAACTTTTAAATGCAAATTTGGCTGCAGCATCTAACAAATAAGAAACAAGTCCCCATTTTGTTTAGTTGTTTAAAATCAAGCATAAAAAAATTACATGTACCGGGCGCGGAGCACTATCATTTCACTTTCACTTTCACACACACGAATGACGGTGATTTATAGCTCGGTCACGTCCGTTACCCACAAGGAAAACCAGCATGTTAACCATATACGGTTTGAGAGAGGATCTGAGAGGGGTGGCAACATTTCCAGCAACACTGAAAACCCTCTCGGATGGTGCGCTCGTTGCACTAACGCACACGTACTTGCGTGCGACTGGCGAGCAAAGGGAATCTCTCCCGGTTGTTGCTCCACCATGTCAGGGGGGTTTCTTTAGGGTGGATGCATTCCTCCTGCAGGTAGCGAGTGAGCTCCAGCTCGGCTCAAACTCTCTTCGGGACGGTTGCAGAAGCAGTGCTTGTCCGGGACTTCAGCAGGTCTCCGAGCGTTTATTTATTTTTTTTGCCGCTGGTGGCAGCTCTGTCTCGGCCAAGGACTCTGGCTGCGCAGCAGCTGGCGTACTGAAAACCAAAGTGCTCCCAAAGGAGCGAAGTAACGTTTTGTTTTGATACCAGTGCAGCCATCCTTCTCAACATGCATCATTGAGTTGAATCAAGTTCAGTAATCGCGGTGGCTCATGATGCAGCGCGGTGGGTTTCTTCATATTGCGATATTTCATTTTTGTGGTTACCGTGACAGCCCTAGCCCCATACTAGCCAGCCATGCATTAGGTGGTGGACATTTTCCAGCTCCTGGGGGGCCAACCTTGGAAATTGCCGCTTCGCAGGGACCTAGTGTCCCAAGATGGAGGCTCAATCTTCCATCCTCATCCAGAATGACTGGCCCTGTGGGCCTGGCCCCTGAGGGGTGCGGGTTAGGGTCATCAGAGCTGCCCCAGGCAGTCATTCGAACCATTCAGAATGCCAGGGCCCCCACCACTAGGTCCCTATATGACTGTAAATGGAGGGTGTTTGAAGCCTGGTGTCAGGGCAGAGATGTCTCACCCTCACACTGCCCTGTGAATGTCATTCTGTCTTTCCTGCAAGACTTGCTGGATAGGAAGAAGGCTTTCTCCACCAATTAAAGTGTACCTAGCAGTCATTTCCACCCGACACTTAGGTTAAGGGAAGAAATTGGCAGGTCAACACCCCCTGGAGTGTAGCTAAAGGAGGGGTGCGTGCAGGCTTCTCTCTGTGTCTCGACCCCTGGTGCCCTCATGGGATCTGTCCTTGGTGCTGTAGGCCCTCTCCGGGCCTCCATTTGAGCCTATGGATGGCCTGGACCTTAAGATCCTGACTCTTAAGGTGGTGTTACTCCTGGCTTTGGTATCTGCAAAGTGAGTTAGTGACTTACAGGCTCTCTCTCTGTGCACCCATCCTGCACCCAGTTCGCACCGGGTGACATGAATGTATCCCTGAAGCCCAACCCTGCCTTTGTGCCTAAGGTAGTGGGCTCCTTTTCTCCTATTCTCCTCACAGCTTTCTACCCACCGCCCTTCTCCTCTCCTGAGGAGGAGCGGTTGCACAAGCTGTGTCCGATTCGCGCACTCAAGGAGTATGTTAATCGGACAGGGAACCTTCGCGAGGGGACCAGCTTTTTGTGTCATGGGGTGGACCTTGTAAGGGGAAACCCGTCACAAAGCAGCAGCTTTCCCACTGGATTGTGGAGGCTATGTCTCTGGCTTACTCCTGTCAGGGCATTCAGGCACCTGTAGGGCTCAGGGCCCATTCTACTAGGGGCCTGTCTGCTTCTTGGGCCCTTTTTCGGGGGCTGTCTGTCCAGGAGATTTGTGCTGCAGCAAGTTGGGCTTCTCCACTTGCATTTGCACGCTTCTATAAGCTTGATGTTTCAGTCCCTGCATTGACCCACACGATTCTGGGTGTGGGGTCCTCAGCGGGCCAAGACGTACCCCTAGGTTGGTGATCGCTGGATAAGTTGTCTGGCAATACGGGAGTCTCCATATCCCATAGTGAGACATCGAAACGAATGTTAAGAAAGAGAACTTTAGGTTACTATCGTAACCCCAGTTCTCTGAGTAACATGAGTGAGATGTCTCACCAGACAACCCTTCTTGCTGGGCGAAGCGAGAAGAGGTGTTTATCTTGAATGGTGCATGCGTTGGGATGCTTCCTACTTATAGTAGCAGGTGACGTGTACGTCAAGGTCACTGGCCAATCAGGATTGGCGTATTGAGATGAGTGCTTCTGAGGAATCCGCGGAGGGGCGTATCCCAGAATCATTAGATAGTTAACTAATAACATCATCTAGTTTAACCTCGACTGTAAAGGTTAATCAAGGTAAATTTACAAATCATACAATGACCTAGTTAACCTAGTTTTATACAAGAGCTCAGCTCTTTGGTTTGTTTTCTAGGATTGTATTTGAAACTTTAAACCTGAAAGTAAGAATTAAATTATAATTCCCACTCACTACAGTTCCCCCTATTAGTCACATCAGTCAAGGAGGCACAGATTAGTATTTGTGGATAAAACATTCATCTGTAAACTCACAGAGTTTCGCTGGTGAGCAGAGGAGGGCAGAAGTAGCTCAGATAATCTACTGGTGATGGCTTCTATCAGTCTCTCTATCTCCTTGTACTGGACTGGTCTGGACTGATGATTGAGGCTGGAGAATTAGGAGGAGCAGTCATTTAAAGTGAAATAATACTTATAGTTGCAAAGTTTAAGAAAGAGGAAAAAATGTAGTGCTGATGCAAGTTTCTGTTGTGACTTAAATGCTGCTGAGGGTATAGACGTACTGCACAAGCTGCGGCAGATTCCACAACAGCACATTACACCTTTAGACAAGATGAACAGATGTGCTGAGTGAACACTCTGCAACATTTGGTGCACTGCTTCCAACGCCCACACATTTAACCCAGAATTCACTGAACATTAAGGAAAGTGACTAGCCTAGTGAACTAGACCAAATTCTTGCTTTGCAAAGTTTGGTCTAGGCATGCTCCATAGAGCTCCGGACCCCATGTGACTCTCAGTTAGTGGACGCCATTTTGGCATGCAAAAAAGGTAAACAAACACGGATGTAACAATGAACATGAACGGGATCCGCTTGGATTTTACTTCGTCGGAGTTTACTTCACACTTTAAAACAGAAGAAATCGTTTTATATAGTCAGAAATTAAATAGACTAAACATCTCCGACCCTTACCGTGCCCCTGGGATACTTTTTAAAAACGCCAGAAGCTGTCGGAGCAGACTTCTTACCGGCACAACACCGGACCTGGGGAATCCCAAGGGGTTCCCCCGGCCGGAGGAGCTGGGGAGAAGGTCTGGGACTCTCGACTCTACTGCCCGCTCCGACGCCAGAAGCTGTCGGAGCAGACTTCTTACCGGCACAACACCGGACCTGACCGGGGAACACCTTGGGATTTACCCGGAGGAGCTGGCTCCGGCGGCTGGGGAGAGGGAAGTCACGCTACTGCCCCCGCAACCCGACTCCGGATACGCGGATGAAAATGGATGGATGGACGGACAAATAACAGATTTACACGTAAGTAGTCTCGGTGAGACAGATAATAGCAATCCAAAGTGCTTTTTATGTGTGATCTGACAATTGATCAACCATTGCTTAAAAATTAAATACAGCTTAGCCGGTTAATTGCTGTCATCATAAAACACGGAAACGGCAGCACGCAGAACTCACGAGGCAACGTTTTACGTGATGTTTACTTGTTGCTATGAGTAATAAGACAGAAAAAGCCACGCCAAAATAAGTTTAGGAAGCCCACTAAGAATCATAATAAAAGCATTTAAAATAAATACCATACACAGTTGAGGAAACGTTGGTTTAAATACCTGATATGAAGCGGTTGCTGCATAAGCGAAAACCTTTACTCTCGGGATCCCACAGCTTCATTTTCACGCGTTTTATTACAATGATCCAACATTTGCGGCGCTCCGGATCTTGGGGAATCCTGTAGAAGGCTCATTCCTTATGTCGTCCTCGTCTGTTCTGCATCCTGGGGCACAACAGGAATCTACCATATTTCTCGTTTGATTGAGTTTTCTGACAATAACAAATAGTCCAGTTGCCGGCTTCTGCATGCCAATATGGCGCCGTTTCGATTTGAACTGTTGCATGCCGGGAGAAATGACGTCAACTCCCGGAGCTCTATAGGAACCTCAGCAGCTCCTACCAGGACTCTGGCTAGCCAATCACAGCTCTCTAGAGGGGTTTCAAACACATAAAGAGCTGTGATTGGTCCATAATGGTGGGCCAATCATAGTGCTCTATCTGTTTAGTGAACAAATCACAGAGCTTTATCCGCTTTGTGGGCCAATCAGGGCACTCTATATGCCTGGTGGGTGGGATGATGCAAAAGAGTGAAACAAGAGTATGTCACATTCATTGTCCAGTGGAATGTGGATCATTTGAAAGACAACGGTAGAACCCGCCCCACAACCGAGAGCCGTCAATGGAGCATGGCCAGACTAAATAATACATTTATTTAGTCTGGCTTGCCAGGCTAGAAAGTGACTACATTTGTATTAATATTGTCTGAAATATTATGATGGAAACCTGCTTAACGTACTTAAAAAATATTGATAAAATTAACAACACATGTTGCATCCTTCCCGTGTTTACCTGAACAAAGAGGTGGTGGCTCTGATGACCTGTGTGGCTACAGACAGGCAGGAACAGGAGCTTCCAGCTAACAAGACCTCTGAAACCGCCACAAACGCTGAACCACTGGGGAACAGATGCACACCTGGAGGCTGTCTGTTCACATAACATGACAGCAAACATGAAATAAAATCCCACCAAAATCATGTTAGCATTGTTACAGTGGTGATAAATCAGAACATAAATTAGAAAAGTAAAAGATAAAAGATTGTCTGCACTTCTGAAATAATTACAAAACAAGCAACTTGAAAGGAAAAACTTGAGGCTCATCTGCATTATCGGTATTCTTCTGTCCCACTCAGAAACACCAAAGAAACATATTTCGCTTAACAGTAGGCAGAGAGCACAAAACAAATGGTTGTAACCTTTTTGGATTGCAAAGACCACCATTTTATCTCTGATGAAGCGCCATAACAGCTGGGGACTGACTCAGTGTTGCCACAAGAGCTGCAGCAAAGATCATCTTAAAGATGTTGAACACTCATTTAATCAATACATTTGCAGTGGTCTCTAGTAGGAATGAATGCCTTGTAAGTCATACTCTGGGGGGAAAAACACCAGTACACATTTTCAGTAACTAGAAGTGAGCCACATCACAGCTGAGCTTCAGATGGCAGGGTTTGGAGTTTTATTTCCTGATATTTGGACATCTCCTGGGTTTCCTCTAGGATTTTTTAAACGGTGGTGCTGGGTAGGTCTACCTATATTTCCCAAATGAATTGATGGGGGGGGGGGGGGGGGGGGGGGGGGGGGGGGTTTACAGATGAAGATCTTATTCCCTGATCTGAATACACATCTTTGCTTAAATGTACCTGTCATTTCCTCTTTTTGTTTGCCATCAAGCATAGTTTCATCACTTCAGGCATACCCTGCCTTGCCTTCTTGTGTTTACCCAAAATCCATGAAACTCCGAGAAAGCATCCTGTTGCTATGTGTTGTTTCTTCAGTCACAGATGCAGGGTATTAGCCAGAAACTGGGAAAGTGGCTGTCCCACTGGAAAAAGTGTCCATTCCTGCTCATAGGAGTTCAGTTTTCTTTACTAGTGAATAACTGCAGGTAAAATGTTGCTTTGCTGTGTTTTATTAACATTAAAATAGGTTGAAGGTTTATTTTTTTCTCTGCCTTTTGATCAGCTGATCCGCGGGTCCGACGTGACGAAGGGGGGTGTCAGATTTGTATTTCATTACTGAACTCTATTGTGGTTTAATATTATTAAAATGGGACAATCAGCTAAAACTGTTGAGGGAAATTTGCTGAAACTACATAAATGGAGATGTCCAGGGAGTTTGTTCATGAACATCACGTGTTCATAAACAAACTCTCGGGTCATTTGCATCAAGGAGCAATTAACGGAGAAACGGTGATCCGTGCTCGGTGATCTGCAATGAATTTGCGCATTTCCACTAGTACAGACTTGAACATGTCTGCCGAATGATTTGTGCAGAGTTTTATTTTATTTCCACAATAAGAAAATTGTAGTTTAGATATTACAGAAACCGGGAATGGCTTGCCATCTAATTGGAAAGCAGTGCCTTGGCAGGACAGCTCGCTGGCTGACATTATGCACAGATGCAACTAAAATCCTTCTTGCAGCTTTGTAGGATGACTTCATTGCATTTATTTTTGCTGTTCTTACCTCAGATTTTTGAGGAAATTTATCTTAGAATCATTGTGCCTCGTCTCATTACGCCATTTCAAATTGGGAAACTTTATCACTGAAACTGTCTCTTGTCAAATTAAGCACATGGGTCTGATGCTGGATGGAGGAAGAATAAATGCAAATTGTTGCGTCCATTCATTTTTAAACTGTTTGTATTCATTGTTCACTTTACTTTTAGCGGAGAATTTAGAACACGCCATTATTTCCCATCCGAAAAACTGCAGTGGAATAACAAACGAACGAGCGGCTCCAAAAGTGAAAGCAAAGCAAGAGGAAGCAGATGAGCAGTGGTGATGTGTGAAAGAAAGACAGTTTTTAACAGGGAGAAGGCTGAACCATTGCTCTGTTGTGGAGCTGATACAGGGCAGTGGTCGTCCTGTTTTTATTTAAATAGTCAAGTCAACTTTATTTATAAAGCACTTTACAACACCATAAAAGCTGACCAAAGTGCTTAACAAGCCAAAACAAACAGAAGTTTCCTAAAATGCTAAAAGTAAGATAAAAGTTCATCAAAAAGTAAAAACATGACAAAAGCAATCAAACTGACATAATAGCTACTAAAAACAGATGCATTCTCAAACTGAATAAAAAGCAACTGAGAACAGATGAGTCTTTAAAAAGTGATTTAAAACCCAACAGTGAAGAAACCATCCGAATCTGGATTGGGAGTGCATTCCACAACCTTGGAGCTGCTACTGAGAAAGCTCCATCACCCCTGAGCTTTCTCTTTGTTCTCGGCACCTCCAGGAGAAACTGGTCGGCTGACCTCAGTGACCGAGACGGAGAGTGAGAGACTAAAAGTTCACACAGATACTGCGGAGCAAGGCCATGTACAGCTTTAAAAGCCAATAAAAGACCTTGTACTGGACCCTAAAATCGACAGGCAGCCAGTGCAGCGAAGCTAAAATTGGAGTGATGTGCTCCCTCTTTCTTGAACCCGTCAATAGGCGTGCTGCTGCATTTTGCACCATTTGAAGACAGGAGAGGTGAGACTGAGGGAGACCAAGGTACTGTGAGTTGCAACAGTCAAGGCGTGATGTAATAAACGCGTGAATCACCGTCTCAAAGTCATGGATTGAGAGCAGATGCTTAAATAGAGTGTGCACAGTACCGCGCTATGTCAGTAAATGTGAAAGGATCACGGCTTGGGGTGCCGGAAAGTGGCGGTTCGTGGGCCGGGTCCGTACGGGTTAGGCCACCTATTGAGGGACACTGGTCTATTTTCTATCAGAAGCTAATTTAGGAGATAGGTGTAGGAGACCTTTTTCATGTTCAGCCTGCATGAAAAACTACAAGTGACTGATTATAATCAGAAATAACAATTAAACATTTTTTCCAGTGAACTACACCTTTAAATAACTCACACGTGCACACAAAGACACACAAATGCAAAAACCCAAACAAGAAACATTATTAGATTAAGGAGATAAACTTCTGTTGGACACACCCACACATAAGTGTATTTTAGCTTGTTCAGCACTTTTGAGTCTGGGTGACGCTTTTAAAGGACATATTTTCCTGTTAGACAATTATTCTCTTATCCCCTGTGTCATTACCAAGTGATGGCTGGCTTTCCATTAAAATTATGCCAAGCTAGCAGAAACAGGACCATGTTTTAGTGGCCTGTGATACATTTTCATCCCTGAGACAGCAGACAGTTCATTTAAATTCAATTAAACTCCCCAGTGTGCCACATTTAACATGTTTTACAACAGTTCACTTCACTGTGCCGCCCGCCACAGCGGAAGAAGTACATTAGGTTCACTGACTGAGCATGTGGTTTGGATGTAATTCAAATATATTTGATGATGTGAATCCAATAAAATCATAATAAATGAACAACACTATAACACCAACTCACAGCATTAATCACAATATTTCATCAGCAGGTTCACCTAAACAAGAGTTCCTTTATTATTTCTTATAGCGGAACATTTGCCTCTACAGCTACATTCTTAAACTCTCCTCTCTCTTCTGCTGATGTGTTTTCATGTTTGGGAGCTAGCTAAAGGTGAAGCTAATGCTAGTCGACGTCCTCTTGATTATGATTATGTTTATTAATGGTTCAGGTCATTGCTCACATTCTTTCAGTTGTTGACAAAATATACAAATTGTATATACTGTTCTATGAAACGTGGTAATTAGACCCACGGTGCAGGTGAAGGCAATGGCAGGCAGGTAAACCCAAAAACCTGAGGCTACGACAACAGAAGCAGCATCTGAGACAACTTAACACTTAAATTATATCTGTAGGCACCAGCAGTCTGTCTCAGAGATGAAATGTGTATGTATTTGTTTACTTGCATGTTCAAATGTAGATGGAGGTACGTCTCACGGAAACAAAACACATATTTTCAGACCTGACACTCCTTTAATTCCAATTTGTCTCCTCAGACCTTTTAAGGACTAACTGCTTATTATACCTAAATATTGTTTTATGTTTATTAAAACTGAGGGAAGAAACCATCAGTCATAAAAGAGAACTTTAGAAACGCTGGGAAGGTTTTCCTCAGGACCATTTTAAAGGACTGCAAGTTACAATTTTTGGTTGTTTTAAACACAAATAAGGTTTTTCTTTACCTTGCTGACGTTTCGTTTGCGGCTGCAAGCATCCTCAGAGCTGACGCTGATGGTGGCGTCACTTCCTACTCCGTTTATCCGCGGGCAGCAGAGGACGTTGTTGCCCTCTGCTGCCCGCTCTCCCCTCTCCAATGATGCAGTCCCATGCGTGATCCAATGTGTAGACCCCAACGTCTCTGTTCATAGTCCCGCATCCACGTCTCCTTATGTCTATAGCGTCCTTTAAAGGGACTTTACGGAGTTTTGAATTTTTATGCTCACGATTGCCCCCTCAGGCCCCAAGCGTAACGGCAGCTTCAATAGTAAGCTCGTGCACGAGGCGCGCATGCTGTACGTGCACACTCCTTAACGAAAATAACAGCTGAGACAGTCCCGTGTGTGTGTGTGGCCCGGAGGACAGAGGACAGGAGAACGTGCAGCTAATTAATTAAATAATTTGGTTCTGTACCTTTCTCTTCAGCACAGCCGACAAAGGTTTATGATGGGTCAGTCCTCCTGCATGCTGAGATCATTCCCTTCCCTTGCTTGAAAAATTGTTCCAAAATGAAAGTTGAACCCACAGCTTTTTTATCTGTGAATTCAATGCCGTTCGGCGAGTCTCCAATAAAAATTTGGGCATCTTACTGTAAAAAAATATACCATTAATGTAAAAAATAAACTCTAAATAAACTATGTTCACATCCAGAATCAAACTCGGGTCTTCTGCACGAGAGTCTGACGTCTTTCTAGGTGAGCTAAAGCACCAGTAATATCTTTTGTATCTGTGATGTTTATATCCTTGATAACAGCTGAAACAACGTTCAAAGAACGGTTTGGAGCGAAAATGGCTATTTTGTTGCTAATTTGCAGGAAATA